CATGAACTAGATCAGAGAGCTGATCCAGCTTAGAAGGGAAGATACTTTTCTTTGAGCTGGCCGAGTTCTTTATCTGGACCGTAGACATCTGTGGGGTTGCAGAATAAAGGGGTAAGAGGGGAAAAGGCCATGCAGTGGTTTATGGTTTGGTGGGGGAAACCTTAAACCTTACTGCTGCCAAGACAATGCATTGTCAAACTATGGCCTCACACATTCCCTGGCATAGAAACACACAGTCTGAGGATGCAAACTGCCTTTGCTCTCTTCTGCTCTGCAGCTGCAGGAATGTTTTTGGAGTGAGTGTAGACATTACAAACTTGTGCTAGCCTTGGTACCATTTACAATGAAACCACAGTGATGTGGGGCTTTGGCATGAGGTGCAACTCCCTTCCCCCTCTAGGACTGTAGGTATTTACTTAGGCAGGCAGGTCTGAGCTGCTGCAGCTTCACCGCTCCTTTAGCGGGATTAGCTGAGCACAGTTAGCTTGGAAGCTTCTCTGTGTGCCGCTGTTAAGCCTCTCCAGCAGCTATGGATGTTGTGATGCTGTGAAAGTATGACACATGCATTGAACCATTGTGTGGCCCTGGATTAGACACAGCAAATCTTTCTTTTTACTTATAAGTTAATTTATTTTTCCCTTCCTGCTTTCAAGTTAGATGGATGACTGGATTTCATATTCCCAAAGAATGAACGTGGCACCCAGCAGGAAGGGTGTAGGCAAAAGGAGAAGGGAACAGTGTTTCTGTGCTATGTCCAAGTGCCAGTGAATTTGTGACAAACTGTAAATTTGTTAGATTCTTCCTTACACCCAGCCAGGTGAAATTTGAGCCAGTGAAGGAGAGGAGCAGTTTAGAAGAGGGGACAAACAGGAAAATAAAGGAATACTAAGTCTGAGAAAACCAAAAGAATGAAAAGGGGATAGACATGAGAAAGGAAGTGAGAGGATGGCAGCAGTAACTGAGGAGGGGAGTGGTGGAACAGATTCATAAAAGCTGGAGCAAAGCAAGGCCAGGGAGGTTCAGAACCAAGAATGGAAATAAATGAGGGTTTTAGCAGAATATGTGAATTGGTGATGAACCATTGTAGTAGCCCCAGGTAGATCATTGCATCTGAAGATTGTGCTGGTGCAGGAGAGGAGTTCTATGAGAGAAAGCTACTCACGGGTGCTGAGAGGGCTCATTTCTGTAAGTCACAGCTGCTGCTCTTCTCTATGGCTTAGGCTCTCCTACGGGTTACCCAAAGACGAGGAGAAAGGGGCCCTGCTGGTGAGGTGAGAGAGGTACAACACATTTAGTAGTGTCCTCAGTATCCCTCCCTGGTGCTCTCTCAATACAGCATATGTGAGCACATCATCCTGGCATGCCTACCTTTTGTCCTTAGTTGTCCTTGGTCAGCAATTGGCATTCCTGTATTTCATCTTTCTCTTGTTTTGATTGCTCTGTTACTGATGATTTGCTGGCTGCCTCTGAAACGAGAATAAGAACCTATTTAATGCTCACCCTGCCTGAGACACTGGCTAAGAAACCAAGAGCTCTTGCTTGGGCCAGGCTGCTGTCTCCATTGCCATCTAGAACAGCAGCACCTGGAAGTGTCTGAGCAGGTGAGCTGCTGGCTCTAATCTCTGCTTTGCTCTTTTTGCTCCCAGGTAGAGCCTGAACAGCCTGTGCAGCATTGTGAGGGTTTAGGATGTCTGAATAACCTAGTTTCCCTAGCAACAGTGGTCTCTCTAATCACAGAGATAAAAGTCTACCTCTGTTATTAGTGTTAAGACTTGCATAGTGTGTCTGGCTACAGTAATACTTAGCTTCTGTTGGAAAAAAAAAAGGTAGAATAAAAGCAAGAAGGTCCTTGTGCCTTGGAGATAATTGAAACCTCCATAGGTAAATTTCAGTGCTGCACGCAGCAGTGATAGAAAGAATAGGGATTATAACTACTTCTAAGCTTTTTAATGTGTGAGGGATCCTTGGAGGATACAGAAATAAAGTTTTAAATTCTGTATGGAGCTTTCTGTGCACAGATCTCATGGGCAGGCTGTGACACTGATGGATTCATTACTTGTTGAGATGTGTTATTTTCCTTTGTATGGATAGGGAGACAGTGATTCAAAGGTAGACTGAATCTTGTTGCATAGCTAGGAATAGATCTCCTCTTCTGAGCCTAAGTCCTCCACCTGCTCTTGCCTTCAGTTTCTCTGATAAACAGATAAAGGTTTCCCTGTGCAGTAGGAGACAGAACATGTTATGGAAGGTAGAAGTGTGAAGCCTGCTTTTTAGCAGGAGAAAGTGAGGAAAGTAAAAACACTGTGATTCACTGCAAGCCTTTCTGCTAATATATTTTAATCTACATTCACTCCTCCATTAACAGAAGTGGAGAAAACTACAAATTTTGACAGCAAGCATTGGGAGTGAAAATAAGTATTCCTGCCTTAATTTCTGCACAGCAACATGGTCCTGCTACAGCATGTGTTCAGGAGGAGCTGGTTTGGACAAAAGTAGTTTGAAGAAACTTTTGAAGGGAAACAAAACCTCTTGCTTGACCAAAGCATGAAGCCTACATAAGCACCCAGTGCTGATGTTCCTCCTTGGATAATGCCAGCGTTAAACTGTAAGCAATGCCTTGCAGGCTTCTTGGGTTAGAAAGTTGCACCAGACACAACTGAATGGAAAACAGGTATCTGTACTCCTCCACCAAAGTTACATGGTGTTAGGGTTTTGTGGTGTGGGGTTCTTCTTATTGTATGTTTTAATGTGGCATAAATAGTGCAGGGATGCAATGAGCCACCTAGCCTCCTTCCTCTTTATTATTCTGGTTCGTGTAACAGTCCCTTACCCATCTGGCCAAACAAGAGACCATCCATCTTGTGTGTGAGGAGGGTAGCTGTACTTGTTCTTTTCAGTGTTTCCTCCCCTGTTTGGTGGGGCCATTCTGTCTTCTCTCTGCATGCTTTTACCTAAGGAGCTTTTGAAAATTCCAGCCTGAGATGTGTTTGGCTTGCAGGTGTAGACATTGTGCAGCTTTGGGATATCTAAAAGTTCTTTTGTTTGTGACTGAATATCCTTATTTCAACAACTCCCTTTCAAGCCCCTGTTTACCAAATCAACTTAATAAGGTGTCTTCTGAACGGCTGGGGAGCTCTGGAAACCTCTAACATCTAGACAAAAGTCTCTTCCAGAGCACATGTACCACTTCTCTCCCCTCCTCCCCATTCCTGTGGACTTGCTCAATCTAATGAGCATTTTGAGGAACTCTTGAGAGCTTCTTGAGCACAAGGTAATACCACGAGTGGGTGGGTGACATAAAATTCATTGAGCTTGTTAAAATAATATTGCCATAGTCCTTCAGCAGCCTCAAGGCCTCATATAGCTGTTCTTAGGCTGGGTGGTATTTGGTATGAATCAAGACAGAGGCTCACTTCTACAGTGGGTTTATTGTTGGATTTTCAGTATGTTTGCGTAAATTCCCTAGACCAGCTCTCCCTCCTGAATAAGCCACATGGATCAAGTTTTATTCTGTTCCACACAGAGTTCACATCCTTTACTGGAATGAGTCATGCTTTAACTGAGTTTAGTGTGAGGGAGGAAAGTGGGCTTTAAAATGTTACTCCTCCACCCTGCCTTAGTGATGTATAACACAATTATTAGTATGCTTGGCAACTGCTGCTTAGTATGTTCACAGAACCTGGATATTTGTGAAAACAAGTAAAAATTAGTTCTACTTGTGTTTGAGTGTGAATTTAATGCATTATTTTAAACTTGTAAGACAAAATACCTTTGGTTTTTGTTTGTTTTTTATACGTGTGACTTTGTTTTCCAGAAAGCTCCTTGCTACTGTAAAAGTGGATCTCGCTTATCTCCCTGTGGTTATTTTTTAGTCTGGGGAGAAGAGTGGTGTTTTGTGACCTGTAAGTGAAAGAAGAGAAACAACCCTACCATTTAAGTGCAGCCATGTGTGGCAGTTCCTGTTACACATGGGACATGTGGGCATGACAGGTGAAGGTGCTTTCCAGGCCCATGTAACTCATACGTAAGGTTGTCTCCAGCTTCTCTCAGGCAAGATGTGTGTGAGGCAGTGCCACTGTGCAGAAAGCAAGTTTTGGTCCTCTTGTGTATATTTCTTTGTGCAATGAGGTGAAAGACCTTTTAACCTATGGTACAAGGATCTGCTCACTGTGTCTTGAACATAGATTTTTGCAGAAACAGTCTCTGTATGCAGCTACTAGAAGTACCAGAACCAATTTTACTACTCATCTTTCCAGCTGAAGTTCATTGATATCTCATACAGTAATGGTTAATTTGATTATTCATACCACATATTCACGATTGGTTTTGGTTGGGTGGTTTGTTTCTGTTATTTGGGGGGTGGTGGTGTAGGAGGGAGCAGGGTGGTGGTTTGTTCATTTGTGTAAGGAGTTAGTCCTCAAATGGAGGAGCAGGCAGTCAGTACAAGAGAGCCTCTTAGGATTTTATTTTTGACAGTAGGCTGGTCCACTTGACATGTAAGACCTTTCTTTCTTTGTTCCTGAGAGGTCTGGAAAGAGTTATGTTTCTCCCATAGCTGTGTATTATCTAGGATTGCTAAACTGGCAGGTGCATCATCTGTTCTTGTTCAGCATTAAAAACCAGGGTCTATTACTCTAATGCACTATGTGCCTAACCCCAGACTGCAGAACTTTGTTGGAGCCTGCAAAAGGATGAAATTTTTATGCTGATGCTTTTGAGGGAGTACTTGAGGGAAGGAGCTGTAATTAAATGAACACTGATTTTAGATACTGGAAAGGACTTTACCTTTTAGGACTTAGAATGACTGAAGTGAGCGTTTGGTGCCAACATGAGTGTAATTAAATTTACACCTCCACTTGATGTATATTTAGCTATCACTGACTCTGGGTTTGCTGATAAGTAATCATAATAGGTGGGAGGCAGGCAGTGCCCTGGTTGACCAGCCTATCTCCTGCCCAGCTTGACTCTGACCAGACAGATTTTTCTCCTGTGTTTTCCAGATGCTTCATTCAGTGGCACACCACCTAGCTATGCCTATGATGCAGACCGTGCTGAAGAACAGAGGCGACATCATGATATGATGCCCTATATTGATGACTCGCCATCATCCTCACCCCATCTCAGTTCCAAGAGTCGGGGCAGCCGAGACACCCTATCTTCAGGGTCTCTGGAATCTACAAAATCAGTGAGTTCTTTTCTGCCTTTTTTGAGTCAGCAAAGTCTTACAGGTTTGCAAGGGCTAGAGTGCTTGAACAGGGAGCAAAGACAGGGAATACCAGCACTGTAGGACAGATTACCTGACATAATATAACAGTGCCTGATTGATATTGTAGATGTAAAGCTAAACTGAGGTTTCTAGCTGATGCTGAGCCTGAACTTCAGGGATGAGTGTTGTGTGTATGCTTTTTAAGCCTCAGTTTTTCACCCTTTGTGAATTTTAGTGGAGAGAATAGGTGATTAGTTGCTGTTGAGAGGGTCTCTAAATACCAAATATTTTGGAAAGCAGACTCTGAAATAAAGTATCCTACATTATGATGTTCATACATCTGTGCACGTGGGTTGTCATTGCCTTTCACAAGGAAAATAAGAGTTGTTTTCAGGTAGATTAAAGGCTTTGATAAAACGTCTAGAATATAAGATCTGTTTCCCTCACCCTATGAAAATGGAGTAAGTGGAATTAAAACTGTCAGTTCTGGAGTATGGTTACTTTGGGTAGCAGGTGACCACTTATAATAAATTTGACTAATCACTAAATAGCTCTCTATATAGTCTATGGTGGATAAAAAGTTCAGAAGGGACCACCTAGCCTGACCTGTGGTTTGATGTGGACCTTCAGGATATCCTGCCTTAGTTTTGCTTCAGGTTCAGTATCATGGAACTTAAGGAAAATTTCTGGTTTTGTTTTTACAATAGCCTTGGTAGACTCAGCTGCTTGCCTTGGTAAATAACTCTTGACTCTGCTAACTTCAGTCAGAAACGTCTTAAATATTTCAGCTTAAGTTAACTTGTTTGACTTTCAACCTTTGTTTCTCTTTATCCTTCTTCTATTGTAGAGAACTCAATCCTAAGATGCTGTTTCCCTGAATATCTTTGTCATCTGCAAACATTTGGTTTCCCCAAGTCATTCATAAAAAAACTTAATAGCACAGAGACAACTGTCACTTCCTTCCTATTTCTAAGAAAGCGTAGCCAAACAACCTTGAATTCCCACACTGTAAATGACACTTTGAAATCTGTCAAGTGGCTTAGCTTATGTGTTGCCTTTATATTGTTCTATTAATCAAGGTGTCATGGGAGAAGAAGATGGGTATTTTACAGATATTGGTGTATATGTAGATCTACACCATCAGCTTTATCTACAGGTTGTTTTTCTTTCTCTTGCACCAGAATGATTTCAGGAGTTGTGACAAGTTCCACAAACCATTGCTACTTAGAGTTAGTTATATACATCCTTCTATTATGCTTTATTGGTTAGTGCCAGATCATATGCTTCCTTACTTTTTGTAGGTTGTATGTTAGAATAAGAAGCCTACTTGAGGCAGTGTTCTTGTTCTTTTTTTCTCATTTATAAAAATGCATTGTCAAGTTATCTTCAGGCATTAGCATGTACATATGTTATTATTTGCTTAATTTTATTTGAATATAAAGTATGGAATATAGTTAGCTTCTCATGCTTTAATCTATTAGTTCCGAGATACTATTTTTATCTCTTAAGATGAGAATTCTTAGGATACGCAAGAGGCTTTTGAATGAAGAAGTGGTCATTAGTAAATTCAAAAGCTCTAAGAACATTTTAATACTGGCTTGAGATTTTCAAGTTATGTTTCACAGGATGAAGGAAAAATGTTATGTGACTACATATGGCTGAGGGTTATCTGCAAAGAACCGCTTGTCATAGTGCCTGTGACTGGAGGCTTGGAAGAGACACTGCCTAATATTTAATCTTGCTCTTTATTTGTTTGAATATTTTCTCATAAGCATTTAACAGTAATTAATTTCAAAGTTATGTTAATGGTGTTGGAAGCCTGCCTTTTTAAAGATAGATTTTTAACATACATGGCAGATGTTGCAGATGTTTTATGGCTTCCAGAAGAAAGGGGTGTCCTGATAGAGATTAGACTTCTAATCATGAACCTCAGCTGCTTCAGTTGATCCTGCTGTAATTAGTCCACAAATGACAATACCACTAATGAAGGATGGTCCATGACAAGGAGGAAGAGACTAATTTATAGATGGTTGCAGTATTTCCCAAAGTAATTAAACTTTCTGTCAGCTTGTACTGAAGGAATGTTTTTAGCTGTGGTGGAAAAGACATCAGTAACAAAATAAAGTGTCAAACACTGTGCTGAGCCAAGCACATAAAAGGTTTTGGACGAGGAATACCATGTCTTTCCTATTTTCTTTTTCATTACACTTGATTAGGAAAAAACACTTTTTGTTTAGCTGTGTTTGCTTTTATAGTTGTCTCCTTGCCTTTTGCTTCTTTCTTAGGTGCTTGCAATTACTTCTGAAAATTTTCAATTGTCTTTATGACCAGAGTCTAGAAATAAAAGATTTTCTGTATGTAACAACATAACGCATGCGGTACATACACTGCTTTGTCACAATACTAAGATTGTGAAGCCATTCAGAAGCTAGGAAATGCCTATGGTATCCAGCCTTCCCTTGTGCCTGTAGCCTTGCCTTGAAGTTTTATGATGATTTTCAATTACACAATCAAGCCTTTTTTTTTTTCTTCCTATGGTTCTCCTGCTTTGTTCAGTGTATGCAGTGAATGATACTCACTGTATTCAGTATTTTAACTCTAGAGTTATGTGTGCACCTTACAGGACACTGTGCAAACTGCACTCAGTGGGTACAAAAATACTCATTTCCTTTTGGCATGACCATTAACTCCAAATACAGTTGGAATGCTACACAGGTCTTAATTATCCTTGCAATGTTCCTGTGAGATAAGAGGTTGGTATGTTCACTAACCACTGGTAATCAAGGCAGACAGATTATAGGAAAAGCATCTGCTAATTTTGGGTGCTTAATGTGCAATGCATAATGTTCTGCAAGACCAGGCTCTGACTTCTGATGTGTTTTTCTTCATTTTTAAAGTAAAATCCCTTTAATTTCACTTTCAACCAACAGTTAACAACAGTGGAGTCAGGCACTGAGAAAATGACATTGCAAACAATGGTATTTTTTTCCCCTTATTATAATTCTAAGTAATTCTCTTAGTCTTGCACAGGCATAGCAGCATTCTGGTGTGATCCTCATATGCCTTATCCATATTGAGGGCATTTTGCTTTGACTTATTTTTGTGGCCTTACTCTGGGCTTTGTACTTTTCTGCCAAGTGTTTGAGTAAGTCCTTTCATCTCCTTATAGCAGCCTTTGGTTGGGTAATGCATTAGGGTTGCACATGGTCTTCCCAGCCATGATAGAGAAAGCACGAAGTGGCAAAAGCAGTGTCTCTGTCTAAAAGAGAATGAAGAGGAACGTCTGGACTGCTTCTGGAGGGCCTTCATGTTTTTCCCTCAATGTGCAGAGTGATCAACTCTCCCAGTGCCTCATGTTTTGTGTTTCAGGGAGTGAGGGCTGCAGTTGACTTTGAGAAGGTTTGTGGTGTTCTACACCTTGTCATCTGGGATCTCTTTTCTGATTCACCACCACCACCACCACCTGAATCATATAAGCACATTTAAAATACACTGGCTAGTCTCTCTCCAGACTGTACCACATCAGCCACCTCTTATGTATTCATGTTCCATTTGCTATGTGTCCATTGCACAAACGATCCAAGGACAGTAACCAGAGGCACACCAGCAGTAGCTTTGTCTGTGACCCAGAGAGCACATCATCAACACGGGTGTTTGTAGTGTGGATCTCAGCATCCCTTGACTCGTCATTTTTGTGGTAAGGAGGCCTTAACAAATGTTTCTGTTGAGCAAGCCATGTGGTACCCCTTCTTCTGGCTCTTCCAGAATGTCATGCTGAGCTGCTGGTGCATGTCCTGGCATAAATCCAGTGCTTTTGCCAGACTTTGTTGCTTTGAAGCAAGCATATAGGGGAGAGAGGAAAAAGGAGAAATAGGTTCCACTGATGTTTAAGTTGGTTGGTTGTTTAACTTCAAAAGTTATTTAATTTTCTGAACCTTGCTTTCTGTAACAGTTGAACTGTTGTGATTGAACTTACAAATAATTCTGGAAACCTGCCTTGACAAACGTTAGCCCAGGTGTTTGCCAAATAAAACAGTGATGGCTTCAGAAGGTTTCAGACAGTGTTTATAATAGGTACTAGCAATTCAGCCCCAGAAAGAGAAAGAATGTGAATGTGTCTATCTTCTCCATAAAAAAAGAGTGGAGGAGATACCTGGGTAGAGTTCAGTGAGGACAGAGGGGGAGCTTGCTACAGTGTTCTTGGGGCACAGAGAAGCTGAGAGTTATTGCTGAGAGTTTACAAGGGCATAGCTTGCAGCTTGAAGGCTAAAGAGGGGGTGGGAACCTGCAGTCTTCATGATCTTATTGCTGCTACTCATGAGGGAAGAGGTTACAGCTGTGGAAAGAGTAAAAGTAAGAAAGGCCTTTCAAGATCTTGCCAGTAAAGCCAGGCTCAAAGGGGTGTGTGTGGCTCTGGAGGTGGGCACAGGGCAGCTGGTGGAGAGGCTGGTTCCATCCTGTCCCCCAGAAACAAGAAGAGGAACTTTTCTAGGTTGAGAAGATGAATTTTTTGCCAAAATAGGTCAATTCTTGGGTATATCATGCCCAGGAAGGCAGGAATGCTAAAGCTGAGCAACTAAATCCTACTTTCTGTTCTGTCTGGATGGAAATTGGCTGCTACTTGGAGATTTGCAGGTAGAATTTCTCTTCCCTTTTCCGCTGTGTGGGCCCTGGTTAGCACAGCGCTGGCCTGTGTTGCTGACCCTCAGACTAGGTTCTTTTGTTCTCAGTCTGCCAGCCATGTGGAAAGAGGGGTATGGCAGAGCAGGTTGTAGATTTTTCTTCTAGCTTGGTCCCGGGGGGGGCAGAAAATCTGACCTCTGAAGCTACATCGCTAAATGGGATTACTGGTCTGCTTGGTAGCTCTGTTGCTAGCTGGTCCTTCCCTCTCCAGCATTTCCAAATCCTTCTTCTTTCTTCCTCTCAGTATTTGGTTTTGTTTGGTTTGTTCTACTGTCACTTTTCCTTCACCATCCCCAGCAGATGCAACTTTTCCTTTTTATTCTCCAATTCTTTGCTCCTTAAGGGCTCTGCCTAGATGCACAGCCCTTCCTGAGGAGAACTGGCACACCAGGACTGAGGTTATAAATAATGTTGGCTTCTTTCCCTGCTCCTTCCCCTCTGTGCATGGAGCATGATTGTCTTGATTACAGAATTCGCCCTGTTTAATATCACCGAGACAATGAGACACCTCCAGCTTGTTTAGCAGATGCTTTCAAAGATATTTACACTTAAAAAATGGAAATGAATGTGTTTTCTCTTTTGTAGTCAGTCAGCTTCTCTATGAGATTCTGAGCCGTCCTTATGGGAAACTTCTCCTTTGAATGTATTCACTGCACAGCATATGAACACACTGTACCAAAAGAAGGTCTGAGAGTTAAAGTGCCTTTTATACGCCCACTTTGAATCACTGATTCTCTTTACAGAGCTGTGCTGGCAGCAAGCACTCTGCAAAATCTGATGTATTGTGGTTTCTAGATCCTTAATCTGCGTTCATCCAACATTTGCAAGAAAACACCGCTGTTAATTTAAACAGCAACCAGAAAGCCAGAGTTCTCTAAACAGCGTCAGGAGGGGCTGAATCTGTCTAATCCTTGGAGCTAGTGAATCTCAGGCTCGCTGTAATTGAATACAACATGCAATGCCAACCTGGTTAGTAAACTGAAGTACTTAGGCTGACAAGCTGTAAACACATTGAGAACAGCCATGGCTCAGGGCCAGTGTATCCATGTGCTCTCATATCTTCAGTGCTTCTCACCACTCTGACTGGCCTTGCTTCAGGTCGCAAGATTGCACTTACGGCTGTGACTCAATCTTTTGAGTTTTGAGTCTTTGGAATAGCAAGAAGCACCACCCAGCTGTGAAGAAAACACCAGAACCTTATTGGCATGAGATACCCATGAAACTTTATATTGCTTTCCACCTTCCTTTTTGTTTCTTTTATTTTTTTAATGTAGTTCATGAGGAGCAGGAGCAAAGCACTGGTTGTTCAGACCTGGCTGGGAGTTGGGTCCTCACAGCTCCTATGGCAGGCAGACAGGAATGCTCTGGCTGCTGCCCTGTGATAGCCTTGTAAGACAGTTTTGGTCTGAAACGTGTGTCGAGGTAACCAAAAGATGGAAGGGCAATAGTGAAAGGCTAGAAATGAACGCTGGCATCAAAGAGGCAGGGACAGAGTGAGAACATGAAATACTGGTCAGACTTGTACAAGTGAAAAACAGGCTAACCAGGCTGGGTGGGAAGCATGGGGTGGACTGCTGACCACCAGGCACTCCCTGCTGAGTGGTTAGAGTTTGCCAATGCAGGCGTCTCCCACATCCTGCTGGGACCATCCCATCTGTGCTTTGGTTAATAGGTGTATTTTTCTCTAGCCAATCCCAGCTCCTCCCCTTGCTACAAGCAGCTCAAAGATTTTGACTGCTTCCTTCTTGCCAGGGTAGGGGAAAGGAGTTCTTGGCCTTGACAGGTCTCCCTGAACTGATGGGAGCTTGGTGCTTATGCCCAGGATGTTGCCTCTCTGAACTGCCCTTCTGCCTGGAGTGCAGAAGCAGAGAAGCCAGTGAGGGTGTTGTGGTCACAGTCTTGCTCTTTGGTTCCCTTTTTGTCAGATATGGGCAAAGCAGAAGATGCCCTTGGCACTGGGTGCACCACATCTTGGCGTGCTGTCTCGGAAAGTCAGTCTCTTTTTATCTCTGTCTGCTAATTGCTGTGCCTTGTTTTGGGTGAGCAGGTGAGCCTGTTCCCAGTTCTGTAAGTGAGGAATGTTGTAATACCAACTCATAAATTTACTCCTCTTCTTCCTGATGTAGGCACCAGCTCCCAGTGAATTTCTCAGGCCTGGGGTACATTTCACAACACGTGTGACTTAAAAAGCACCCTGAGGCTGAAGAAGCACAGGGGCTGTTCTCCAGATGTTCATGTAGCAGCAAGAGCTGCTGCTCAGTGCAACCCCAGATGATGTTCTCAAAAAAGGCCTCCCTCGGCAGGAAGCTCTTGTCAGGGCATGGGCCCTCAGGAGGAAACACAGTGGCAGCACAATGCAGACACAGCAGCACCATGGTGTCCTATTGATCCCTGGCACAGCAGGAGCAGCAGGAGATCGTTTTTTTCATATATGAGGAATCTGTATGTAAATTTGAGGTATTGCATTGGAAACCTTGTTATGTGCTATGTGATTGTTGGATAAACTCCCCCGAGGGTTTCTCCAGCAACTGCTGTACTGTAGCTTAAAGCAGCCAGGCCCTGCCCTGTCTGGCTGCATCTGAGGCTGGTTTTGCAAGGACCAAGCTTGGAAAATACTCCTATTAAAAAGGGTTTGGACAATACCATGGACTTTGCAAAGTAACTTCATGATAATGGCCAGGAAGGAAGGCCTCTAGTGTGTCCTGGGAGATGTTTGTCTCTCTGAAAGAACATCTCTTTTAAAGAGAGGAAATTAACATTCAGGCAGAAAATGCTGTCCCTGTCAGCTGACGGTGCCCAGCAAGAACTGGCTTGTAAATTAAAGCTTTCATTTGTGAAGAGGAAAACTGCTCTCAATGCCATAAGGAAAACAGTTGTGCCACTGTTGTAATGAGGAAGTTTGGATTATTTAAATAACCTGTGATTGTGTGCTGCTCTTTACAGATGTTCCAAACATATTCAGCTGGCTTTTAATTCCTCACCTCCTCCAAGAGAACCTGCTAAAGAGCATTACAGTGCTTTGTCAATATTGACCAGTTACTTCATCCTCAGCAGTGAGGACTTTGGATCCCTGTTAGTTTTTCTCAATGCTTCTTTGTGAGGCAGTGTTTTTCTTTTGTAAATGTTGTAAGAAACCTTTGGAAACCACAGAGGTATTGTGTTTTCCTTGCAGCAAGGCTGCTACATCCCTGCCTCTTTGGATGAAGGCAACCTTTGTTAAGCATCATGGGGCTGTCTGTCTGGATTATGTGTATGTAGCCTGCCTTGCAAAATGGTCCATGAGGCAGCCGTCCAGGCACTGCTGGTACAGAAATCATAAGGAATGGTCACAACATTGTTGCACATTTCTCTTTGAGCTGTAACAGGCAGTCACCCGGGTGCTCTGTGGGTGCACAGAATCTGTTTCAGCATTCATTTTACCATGTAGTTTGTCACTGGTGTTTTCCTGAAATCTTCTCAACACGACTGTTGAATTACAAATTCCTGGCTTCTTTGAGACGCCCTTTCAAGATTTTAAAAGGCACTGTGGTTCTTCCTGAATGTCACTGAAGGGGTAGAAAGGAAAGACAAGTTCTTCTTTCCATGTAGTACCTGATGCGCATGTAAATTTTACTCATTTCCTTAGAACAGCTTCTGTCTGCCACTTTTATTTAAGAGGTTATGGTGGGATTTGACACCTCGCAAATGTTTTATAAAATCTTTTAGCCTAGAAAATAGCTTGTGAAATGTAATGAAAGTGTTCAAAAATGAGGGTGGTTATTGATGAGACTGAGTCCAGAAATATCTGAGACTGTTTCTGGCTTCATGTGGTGTGTAGGCTCAAAGTCACACTTGGAATGTGCTACTTACTGTAAGCTTACCTATGTCCAGGATATTTTCTCTCCATAATGAACATCATATATGTACATCTGCAGGGTTCAAAGCATAGGACCTAAAGTAAACCTAAAGTAAATGGAGGTTTTTTTGTCAGCTGTAGGGCTTTATGTTCTGTCAATAGAGTGGTGCATACTGCTATGTTTCCTGATCCTCCTGCTGCTGAAATCAATAGGTGAAGATTCCTCTGGGTATTAAGAGGGGTAGGAAGAATGGAGCCCCGAACAACCTACCCAAAGCCCTTGAGAAGTATCCACCCTTTCAGATCCATCTACTGACTCTATTCTTAGAGACATTTAACAATATAAAAAGGTTGCAAGAACTGGAAAAAGCTATTTTGTGAATGACAGAAATAAAAGGGACTGAAAATAAGACTTTCTAAAAGGGCGGTGTTTCTCATGATTTATAACCTCCATTGTTCAGCCATGGGGGTTTTAGTTTTTTTTTTTCAGAGCTTATTGAAACACTCCATTTCATTTTATCAGGTTAAACATTTTCCAGGTAACAGTTTTGGTTAAGAACTCCTTCATGTAATCCCAGTAAGAAAATCAGCATGTGCCTTCCAAGCAGTGCTGATTATTCCATCCTCTGACTAAAAATAGACATTGTGCAAGCTGGCACTAAAAAATAATTTGGTGAACAGTAGAGAGTGGGAGAAAGCACAGCAATCTTAACAGCAGTGTCAGGCTGGAGCTGCTCTATATTCATGCGCATCTGTGGAGGTGCAGGAAATGATCCTGTCTGCAGAGATAAACATGGTTTGGGATTAAGATCATGGAGAACTCTTGTGGGAGGAAAGAGTGAAATGCACATAATGCAAGGGTCCTTGTGATTTGTTTAGGAGGATAAATGCTGAATTTTGGAGTTCTGTGGTTTGAATTTAGTGAAGAGGTCTGGGCACCTAATTGAGGCACGGACGTTATAGGACTAAAGCCAACACCTGTAAATCATCTGAGTGACATCAGTTGCTAGGAAATACAAAAGTCTTTGGTTTATGTTTCTGTGTTTCTAGAAACAGGACACTGAGCTCAGGTAGGTCTTTTGCTTGGTTGGTTTTTTTTAGTCTGGAAGTAAAAAGCCATGCCCAGTATGCTGTGGTCAGCTGAATGATACCTTTAACCGCATCCTCATTCTTGGCTTTTTTTACCTCTTCTCCACCTTTTTTTTTTTTTTTTTTTTTTTTTTTTCTCTTTAACATCTTTGTAGAGTGAGCCAGACCTGGAGAAAGGCCTGGAGATGAGAAAATGGGTCCTATCAGGAATCCTAGCCAGTGAGGAAACCTACCTGAGCCACCTGGAGGCTCTGCTGCTGGTAAGTGCTGGTGGCAGATACCATTTCAAACACTGGTACTTGAATTTTCATTGCTGCTTCCGTCTAGAGTTTCCCAGAACTTCACATATCATGGGTTGCAAAGGGAACCTGTTACTCCTCTGATAGTGAGAGAGAGGCTTAAAGAAAGGACTGGATATGGCACAACCAGGCAGTTATTAGTGTAGTAGTATCCAGGAGCCCTATCTTTTAAGTATCCTGTGCTAATTATTAGACATATTGTTGTACAGTTGGACAGAGATGAAGGAAATTGATTGCAAAGGGATTTTAATGGCACCATTAATATCCTGGGGAAAATCAGGTGTGACTGATCCCCACGAGAGAACTTGTTAATGTCGCACTTTCAGGAGTTGTGTGAATGCAAATATCGCTTATTAATAGGATGAAAATCAACTCTCTGGAGGGATGTGTTGTACTGTGGCAAGGGTGAATGTATTTGGTTTGCATGATAATGATTTCCTTCTTTCCTCATTTCAGCCTATGAAGCCTCTGAAAGCAGCTGCCACCACCTCTCAGCCTGTGCTGACTAGTCAGCAGATTGAAACAATATTCTTTAAAGTGCCTGAGCTCTATGAGATCCACAAAGAATTCTACGATGGGCTCTTTCCCCGAGTGCAGCAGTGGAGTCACCAGCAGCGTGTAGGGGACCTCTTCCAGAAGCTGGTGAGTCAGCTGCCATCACCAAAGGTCCTGGTACCTCATTCATCTCACAGGTGCTGGTGTGGTTCACTTTGTGCATAGACTGAAAGGATGAAAGCCCATACTTCACTGAAGGGCCTGCAGCAGAAGCAGCTGTTTCATTGTCTGTAATTAAAGACTCCAGCAAGCTTTGCTACTAATACAAATACAATATCAGAGAAATGTTGAATCTCCAGGGTATCTGCAGTGTTTTCAAACCATTTGCTTTAGAGGAAGATGGCAGAATGGTAGTGTTTAAAAGCACACTTTTTAACACCAACAGCTAAGTGTTTCTCATTCTTGCTGAAGTCCTTCACATGTACTTCCTTTCTGTGATGCATTGCTCTATCTTCTGCTGATTTTCTCTAGTTTCTGGTCGTCACCTTTGGTTTGCTTTCCTGGCCTCTTTTCCCCTTGCTGCTGTGCTGATCCAGTCAACCTGCTGCTGAGAATCCTCCAGGCAACCTCAACAAAATTCTCTTAGTGCAGAACAGTACAAAGGCATATACAGCGTACTCCTGAGGCTGAGTAAAAAATACTGAGTTTCTGAGCCAGATGACAAATTGTTTGCATTCTAGGAGATTCCTTTGGCCCCTTTAGCCTCTCCCCAAGCATGTGCAGAGAGTAAAGGATTAAAGAAGCTGTTTTTTTCCTTTTTAGAAAAGAACCTCTGCATTCTTGAGGTGCCTCTGATTCTCAGGGTAGGAGTGACATTCCAGTGAGGGGTTTATTGGATAGGAAGGGTGCTTTACCAGGGTCACTCAATTGTTAGCAGCTGTGGAGCCCAGCACCAGCCCCATCTCCTATGGAGCAGGAGGAGATGGGCCTGGAAGATGAGGTTTTCCATGCATGCCAGAAGCTCAAGATCAGAATATTGGAATCTGCTTTTCGCTGCCAGCATGTTTTAGCCAGAAGGGGTCAAGTTGGTATCTTGGTGAGTAGTTCATGGTATGCAATTTGAGCAACTGGTTTAAGAAGACCAAACCACCTGCTGCTCGTTGGAGGGAGTAAAGATAAGGCTGCTGAAAGTGGAAGCCTCGCAAACTGCATTGGAAGTGTAGTGCAGGAATGGAGATAGAACTAACTGAAGAAGACCTCAATATATTCTTTCCCACTGCTGGCTGTTGAGCAAGCTTTGAATTGCCATAAAGCTACTTAAACCTTTGTTGAAGGCCCTTTCTTGCTGATGATCGTCACAGGTGCAGGAGTTAAGCCTTTCTGGCACTCTGTTATGTTTCCCTGATTTTTCTGCATTTGTGACAGAATCACTGATTTTGTTGGATTAGTATTGGAAGCAAAGGACCAAGTTGCCCTAGTGCAGGAAGATTTGAGCTAGCTTAGCGGTTTCAGTTTCTGGTGCTTTAGTAGAGTATCAGTGGGAATTGTGAACTATTTGCTGGATGAAATGAAGCTAATAATTCTTGGCAGGCAATGGGTAGCAGCTAGATGAGATAGCAAGATCATCAGGCATTACAAGACATCTATACTGGATGTACATCAAATCTTTTGGAGCAGATTGTTTACTTGTAGTCATGTCATGCAATCTCATGATAAATCCTGGAATCCTTGTAATTATCCTGAAGTCCCTGGGGCCATTCATTTCCTTTAATATCATGCAAAACAAAGCACCATAAATTGAAGTTACAGACAGTGCATGCATAGAGTTTTAGAATTTCATGTGGTCTGGAGCAAAGTGTAATCCATTTGCAAGGTCAGTGACTGTTATTCCACCTTTTTCCTGTTGAAACTAAAGAAAAAAAAGATGCTAGGCATGTGGGTGTGAAAAACACTTCTCATTTTTGGGGAGTATTTTGTACACATTCTTAAACTAGAACTGTTTTTAGAAATGAAGAAATATTTAACTAATATTATCACTGGTAGTTTTCAAGAACTGAAAAACTTTCAATCAAAGGGTGGTTATTTCTACAAAGCTGGTTTCCTTTTCAGTGTGCTCTTTTTAATGGAAAAAGAGAAAATTTAAACCAGCATGAACACCGTGTGTGAGCATTATTGCTTTGATTGGAAGCTCAGTTTATAATGAAAAAGGTGATGGCATGTTTAGAGGAGGAAAACAAAAACTCAGAACGGTTGTTCAGGAGTAGCAAGAAATGGAAGAGCCACATAGGAATGGAGAAGCTTTACAGATCTGCTGTGTTAGCTGGCAGCATCCAAACCTGAATGTCATAAGCCCTGCAAATGATCAGTAATTCTGACAGCAGCTTCTTCCCTGAATTGTGCCCCATTGGCTCCACAGTCCTGGGGCGGAGGTCATCCCTGTTATAAGTGAGCCTGGTTTCCTTCAGCCATAGCTGTGTTATTTTGTATGGGGGTTGAGACTGGTTCCTAATCTTCCAGTAAAATGTGTCCCAGGAAACAGCTCACTGTTTCTCAGCCTCCCTTGTGAAGGGAGCGTTCTTCTCAGAGTGGCTTTTTCTCTTCCAATGTCTCTTGCACAAAACTCCGTAGGGAATGGGAAACGCAGTCATTGTAAGGGAGCAGGAGAGGAAAAGAGCACTGTCTGTGGAGAGTTAACTGCTCTGCCTGTTGCATTTCTTGGGCAGAAGTGTAAGGGAAGTTCCAGAAATAATAAGGTAAGTGCAAGTTCTGGTAACAAACTTCTCTGTAATGGAGCCTTTCAAGGCACTCCACCTGTTGGCTCGCTGCTGACCATGCACTTGCAAGCATGGTCAAGCTGCTGAGGTGTTTACAAGCACAGCCTGTGGAGCTCTGCAACACAAAACTATCTCTGCAGTCCAGACAAGCTTGGAAGCTACCCAGGGATTTCCTGAGCTGGATCTTATGTTCTCTGGCATGAATATGGGTGCGATTCCTAAGTCAGCAAGTGGAATTAGTACTAAGACTCAGTGATAATAGTGGCTTATTACTGCACTCTGACGCCTGCTCCATCTTCCTCTGGACCAATTGCCCTTCTGCTGGAAAAACTGCCATATTCTGTCACATAGTGCTGCTGTCACTGCCTTCCAGTTTGTACTCTGGATCTCCCTTCTATATTTTCAGCACTTCATTGCCTTTATAAAGGTGTCCACTAGTGCAGATATGGGTTAATATCTTGATTTGATTTAATGTCTCCATCATGCAAAAGCCAACAAGTAGCTTACTGGGGTCACATTTGTGCTGTTGGGCTGAATCATTCCTGTCTGATTCATATTTTATGGCAAATAGCCAGCAGTTCCAATTACATCAAGGAGCTAAGATATTAATAAATACTAATCTGGCAGTTCAGAAAGGAAAAATTGAAGGCAGTAATAAGGATGTCTCATTCTCACAGGCTTCCACATCCTTCACAAATGAACTCGTTCAGTACAGATTGAACCAAGTGCATGGGATCACCTGTGCAAAGCTTACGGGTCAGAGATGTCTTTCTGGGCTTGCTTAGCATGCTGTGTAATTCTGTGGCATGATGGGACATGACCTGATCACTGGATTACTGAGGCTGGCCGTCCCAAACTCTCTTCTTCCACAGCATTCATTTGATTTTGTTTTGCTTCCTGCAGGCCAGCCAGCTGGGAGTGTACCGGGCCTTTGTGGATAACTATGAAGTTGCTATGGAGACAGCAGAGAAATGCTGCCAAGCCAATGCTCAGTTTGCTGAAATCTCTGAGGTAATGTCACGGTGTTCAGACACACGAGCTGTCTGGATCTGACTAATACCCTGCGATGTCACTCCTGTCTGTCCTCCAAGAATCTTTGCAGCCCTGACTTATGGAGGAGGAGTTGTGAGCTCCTCTTAGACTCAGTGCTTCAACTCATGTTCTTACAGCCATTTATATGTTGGGCCTACAGAGGTTGTCACACAAACAGCTTTTATGTACTGTCCCCACCCAGGGGATTTAGTAAAAACCAGCATTGCTTTGAACTTGTCAGCTCTGTGCCACTGTCATGCACTTCTTAGAAGGGCAGGCTGTATTTGAGTTGCTAAGGTGTTTCTCTTGCTAATAATGATGCTGACTGGTGTAAAAAGCCATCCTTACTGGCTTGTATTATGGCTGTCAGTGGAATTGTAGGCTTCACTGGCACGGAGAGGGGAAGGAAACTGTGTATAAAAAGGCAGGCATGTCATTCGTAATCTATAGTATTATTCATTGGGCTGCTTCAATTTCCTCCCTTTAAGAGGAGTACCTCATGTCAAAGCATTTTGAATGCTTTTTCAGGCTCCCCAGGCCACCAGCTTTGCCTGCAAGGCATGGTCTCATTGATCCTTGTATTGAGGTGATTGTATCTTGAAGAACTCAGGTGCCAAGAAAAACTTGAACTTATATGTGTGTCCTTACAAACAAGCAGATAAATAATCAGAGCTCAATAATACTGGGGTGTTTATTGCTCTGAAAAAACTCCTGAGTACATTCAATGTTGCATGTCCCTTTGGATTTTTATAATAAAGAGGTAAAATGCGTTCCCTCTGTGAAATGAGGCTTGGTTTTGGGGACCTGCTGTACTACTCATCAGACTGCAAAAGTCTTCTATTCTTTCCTTTCCTGAGGATTTCCATCAGGTTCTGGTCCTTTGCCTGACTGACTCATTAGTAAAGTAGCTTCCCCTGTGCTTACTTTTCTATCAGTACTAAAATGCATTTAAAGGACATAACCAATTAGTAATATGTATAAATAGTATTATGGTAGTTCCTAGAAGACAAAATAGAGATTAAGGCCCTAGGGTCCTGGGCTCCTTGCAAATGCCTTGGTTTTGCTGTTTTCTGGAGGATAACTCTGAAATTGTGCTAGTATCTACTGTATTTGGAATGATGGTGTTAATACTTCTGCATTTGTGTCTTGGTGAGGATTTCAGAGCTCAGCACATTAGTGGATGTAGCTTCATAGTCCATGTGCAAAGTGAAGAGTCACAGGCATTGTTCTTTTCTGCCATGAAATTGCTGACTTGTCCAAGGTCACCCAGCTCTGAGTACAGGTATAAGAAAGTATAACCTGGGAGTACTGAATCCTAATCCAGTACTTTATATGGTGGTGTACACATGCTGTGACAATGGCTGCATCCTTATGGATATGTCTTTCTCCTGCAGGTGATATAAAAGCTCCACCATCCTTATCACTAGTGGTGGTTCCCTGCTTAGCTGCATCTCTGTTGGCATGCACTCCTAAGATAATTGTTTAATATTTGAGATATGTGGGTGCCTGTGACATGGCAGTGGTGGCTTTACCAAGAAGAAAAGCACATTTTTCCTTTGCTGACTTGCATTGTCCTCCATTCACTTTTAGGCCCTTCCTTAGAGGAGCAGACAGTGTCTTACATTCTTGTGTGATATTTCAAGGCGATTGACCATCTACTATGTGGGTTTTCTTTTTCTTTTAGAATCTAAAGGCTAGAAGCACAAAGGAATCTAAGGATCAGACGACGAAAAATTCCTTGGAAAGTGAGTGATCCATGCAGAGGAAACTGGTTTGTCAGGACTGTTGGAGGCTGTTGCCAAACCTCCACTCTCCCTTTTTCTTTTTAAATGCTGGAAAGTTATGGAGTCTCTGCCTGGGACATCAGTTCCCTTTTGCTAAGTAGCAGAGCTTGTGCACAGTAAGCTGCATGCATGCATGGGAAAGCCCCTGTCCGGTTTAAAACCTCATCAGTCCCTTTGGGCAAAACCAGGCCAAGCGAAGGACTGCTGTGATTTTAAGAGAACACCTGCTACCCAGTGATAGCACAAACACAATCCTACCACTTATTGTTATATGGGCTTTGCCCTGTGGTAGCATCCAGAGAGCTTGGTCAAGATCATGTTTCGTGGTGCTTGGCTCTGTGCACATAAGTAGAAGATGACCCATGTTATAACAAGCTTCCATACTCACTAATATAAAAGCCAGTCCCCTTCCTGTTTTGGCCCACTGTCAGGATTTGGAAGCACTCAACATGTCACGCAGAACTCCAGAAGGAGGAATGCACTTCCAGTCTTTGGCAACTTTGAGTGCAAGAACCAGTTCTGATCTGTGCAACCAGGCAGATTGCCAGGGAGTTATCCAAAGTGTCCCATGCTGTGTGCAGTTGTTCTGTACTACCTTTTGTGTTCCTCAGCCACTGCCTAGCAGGGCATGCTCACAAGTGGCCATGTGTTTGCTGTGAAGCATGTTTGTTTTGTCTGTGTGTTCATGTGCGTGTTATTGGCTGTGCAGCACATTAACCTTAGAGAAGGGAATTTTCCAGTAGCTCACTGGTTAATAAACCTGTGCCTTTACAATCAGTGGCAATGGACAAGTTCCTCTGTAGGGTTTGTATTTAAGTACCTCTTTCTTATGTTTCTGCTTTTTTGTTCACAGCTCTATTATACAAGCCAGTCGATAGAGTGACTCGCAGCACACTTGTTCTGCATGTAAGTATCTGAAAGATGGTTTTCAAACTTTAGACCCCTTTCTTATTTTCTTTGCCCTTTAAATTTGCCGTGAAGATAAAGGATTGCAAAAATAAACCTGTCATGCTGCATAAGAGCCTTTTACATTTACATTAAGCGGAGGGAGGTCATTGGTATGACCCTGCTACTTCTGCAGTGGTGTTACCAAAAAGTGCAGAGTGTTATTCTCTTCCTTTAGAAGTGAAGCCTTGCTTTAATCCGTAAGGAGAAGCTGGAGCATCTTGTCCAACACTTCTAGTTAGGGGCCTTCAGAACCTTCTGCTTTCCAGTGCTGCTCATAGCTCTGTTCTTTATTTGTGTTCCTGGTGTCAGGATTTGCTCAAGCACACTCCAGTGAGCCACCCTGATCATCCACTCCTGCAGGATGCTCTGCGGATTTCACAGAACTTCCTCTCCAGCATCAATGAGGAGATCACTCCTCGCCGGCAGTCAATGACTGTAAAGAAGGGGGAGGTGAGTCTTCCTGCTTTCATTATTTTCTCAGTTTCGAAGAGTTGATCCTTTTCTGTAGAGCAGACTAGGAAGTTACCCTATTAATTTGTTTGTTGCCAAGTTACAGTTTATGCAGTGTCCCTGTTCCCTGAAGAATGTGGTACAGCTCCCCTTTGTTTTCTGTTCAGAAAACAGTTTGGAGACCCAGAGGAGAAGTGTGATGAGAGTTTTGTCCTTAGCATTGTTATAATCATTTGTCTTACATAATTTCTGTGATGGGTATTGCTGTGCATTAAACGGACTTGTATTTTACCTGCAAACTGAAACCAAACGGGAAGCCTGGGAGGAGGAAAAGGTGAGGAAACACCACCTAGAAGCTGCAGTACTGGGAATTCAGTGCCCTTTGTCCTGCAAGTCTTGTTTGTTGTCTCATTTTGTCAACTGAGGAGGTCTGCAGCTGAGAAAAGGAGAGGCTGAGCAGTTGGAAGCTGAGGTAGAAGCTCAGACATTAGTCATCAGGGCCTCAGTGATAGTAGATGGACTCATTTAAGTGCATGTTGATTGGGTCATAGAAGATACAGCAGACTAAAATGCCCCCTTGCAGGGAAGGGAGCATTTAGTGTTCTCCAGTTGTCTGTCAGAATCTCAGTGAAGGATGCAGGCTTGGGCATATGTCATGCAGAATCCTAATGAGTTGCCAGAGCCCAGGCAGAGGGGCAGGCTCAGGAGAATGATCCTGAGGATTTCTTTTTGGAGTGATGTGTTTGTCAGATCTTAACCAGAAGGGGAGGCTTGTCAGGATTGGGCTCAGCAGGCCTGTTCACACTCTCACTGGTCCTGCTGTGACTCCATGTATGATGTGGGGAGGGAAAGAAGGGGCAGTATCCAGGGAGAGGGCTGTGGGTGTGTTGGAGGAGACTGGAAAACCTTGTGCTCTCCCTTACTGCACACATCTTGCATTGAGCCCAGGGAAGGAAAGGACTTGGTTTTGATGCTTCCCATAGTTTGCCTTTCACTCTGGGAATCTGATGGTGGAGACTTTCTGTAGTCATTTAGCATTAATATCCCACTTTTTTCGAAGCAGTAATACTGGATACATTCACTCTCTGCATGGCAACCCAGAGACACGAATCTGCTCCCAGCTACTCTGTGTGCATTAGTGAAGGCTGCTCCTTCCTACAAGCTACTCAGCTTGGGGTCATAGCTGGGTTTTGTTTATGGCTGTAAATCTTTCCTTTTCTGCTTATCCTTTCCTCCTACTCATCTTGCTGGTGCTTCCCCGAGGGTGACAGGACAGCGTGCAGTTTGCATCTCCTAATTGACTGCTCTCAATGCATAATGCATTTTTATTTTAATGAATCACCAGCTTGCTTTGATGGCTTTTTTCATTATTTGTCTTCCTCCCATTGAAATTTCCTTGGTGGAAAGGAAGGAGGGAAAACAGCTTTTTCCCCTCATGTATTGCTTAGGTGCTGATCTCAGTTATCTTTTTTCCCCAGTCCTCGCCTTTTGTATAGAATATTCTTCTCCTTTGAGTGCATCGTGGGGAGGAGTCGAATCTCCTTTGCCAGCCTCTTGCTCCAGCTCTTTTTTTCAGGATTGCTTTGAACTGGGGAAAGCAGCCAGTTGTTAATTTCCCTAGTGACAGGCTGCTGAGGAGAGGAGTGCAGGTCAGGAGAGAGTACAGGCTCATCAGCACAGAATTCCTCCCTTTTGCAGGAGTAATTCCCTGCTCTGGGAGCGTCAACTGAGTCTGACCTGCCTGCTGTCTTCCTGCATGATGTCAGGTGTCCTTCCAGCACAACACCCCCTTGGCTCTGCTTGGCTCAGGAGGCTTTTATCTAATTCTAGACGTAGGCATATAAAGTTTTCTGGTTTAATTTGCTGGGCTAAATGAGTATTTCAGAGTGTGCCAGGAGATGGGAACAAAAGGAATAAAACCAGAGGGACAGAAAGGGCCATAACAGGGAAGGCAGTATTGGTGGGTTAAACCTACAAACACATAGTTTGGTCCTTGCTGCCTGCCAGGCTGACTGTAGCTTGTCTTCTCTGCTTCGTGGTTTGCTGAGGGAAGCCAGGAGAGCACCAGACCCAGCCTGGCAATACAGGGGAGCCAGGAGGACTTTTGGGTGTGTTTCCCATTCAGCCTGATCTGCTGCATTCTCTTGCTCCCTCCTTTTCTTCCCATCTTCCTACTTTAGAGGTTTTGCTTTCTTTTTGATGGATTATCCGCAGGTACTACTTTGCCAGCCCTCTAAATAAGCAAACGAATGTATGGAGGAAAAAGAGGTCTGAGTAGCAATGAGCATTCTGACTGAATGCAAGTGGTGGAGAATCTTCCACCCCTTAGGACCATGGAGCAGGCATTTTATTTTCTCACTGCTGATTTTTTTTCACCACTGTCCTCCTGACTTAAATGGGGAATCTGTTTAAAGTTCTCCCAGGGATGGTCCCTTGGGGCAGCAGGAAAACTAATGCTTTGATGTGCAGGATGTGCCACTATTATGTACCAGAAGGAAAGGAGCAGTAATAACCTTTCTGCATTAACAGAGCAGCTCTATGGTCTGCATGGGGTTTTTTCAACTAAGCCTGGATGCAGGTGACTGTCAAGCATGTGTTGTCTTTCCCTGCCAGAAGTAAAGGCTTGTGTTTCCAGCTAATTCAGCCCATTCTTGTAAAGCAGGAATTAATGAAACTGCAAAAAAATTGCAGAGTTCATGTGGGTGATAGTGCTCCACAGTGCCATGGAGGACTGGAGCTGCCTAAGAAGAAGCCTTTTTGAGTTTTGGGTCGCTCTGCTGGCTGAGTGGCTTAGCGTCCCGTTCCATCAGTTTAGACACAAAAGGGCTGACAGGCAAGCCCCCTAGATCACAAGTTGGATCAGCTTATGCAACTGTGTACCTTTTCCCTTGCCCTGTAGAGAAGAGGCTGCTTTGCAAGCTGCTTTACTGTATTTCTCAATGTGGTTTTAAGCTGCAGTCAGGAGACCGGGTATCACTGCTTTAGGCTCCTGTTTAACTTAATAGAGACCAAGTGTGCTAGGGAAGTGAAAGGACAAAGGACATTTGCAAAGGAGCAAAACTGCAAACTAAAGCCTTTGAAAAGCTGGGAGCTAAGCTTAGACACAGGCATCCAGGCACAGCTTGAGGCCTGGTGCCTACTGCTTCTGGAGGCCTTGGGCAGGCGTTGGCAATAAAGCACTCAAAAATAATCTTGAATACTTCATACCCCGTCTTACAACTGGAGTCAGAGAGCTCCCAGTGAAAGGAGCTTTGGAAATTAAAAAAGAAAGGCTATAAAAATGCTCAAAGAGCAGCCAGTGCTGTCCTTAGGCAGAGCATCCCTTTATCCTGCAACGCTGGTCCTGCAACACACGCGCACGCACACGAGGAATCGTTTTCTTCCTACGCTCTGCAGAAAGCCAAACCACCTCTTCCTCACTGACATATGCCAATACCCATCTCCCGCTTTTACCCTCCTCCTCCTGCATCACACATGTTCCACTCCTTCCCAGGCTCTCACCCACGCACGCTGCAGGCCTCTGCTGTCACCACATCGGATGAGCTCTTTCCTCAGCATACAAGGGAGGAGATGGCCTTTCGTACAGTTGTAGTGCTGGATGAGTGGTTTTTTAAGTTCCGCTCTTTGTAATGTGTCTCAGACAAGCTGGTCACACTTCCTGGAGTTAAACATGTGACAGCAGCAGGAGTTAGCATATGCAAGCAGCACAAAAACATGTAGGATGAATAGATGATGAGCATACAGGTAAGTCGTGAGGTTGGTAGCAGCGGAGGGGGAGATGCTCACTGACAGATGTAAAAGGAGGAGGAAAGCCAAAAGGAGGAGGTAGTCCAAAAAGGCTATCCACGCACTGAAAGATGTACAGGGAGAGCTGCTTTGTCCAGAGCACTGTTTGAGAGATTAAAGATGATCCTAATTAATTCCATTAAACAAATAGGATACAAATACAATAGGGTACAAAATAGGAAGCTCTCGCCAAGTCTCCTGGAACATCTCTGTAGCCTAGCTGAGCTTTGGTGCTGGACCTCTGACAGTCTCGGGGCTGTCTGTGGAGGAGAGGGGGTCACTCTGCCACAGTACTGGCACTCTGATGCTAAGCTAATGGGATGTTTATTTGGTGTTTCTGTAGTTTCTATGTCATTTCAGAGTAACTTTAAAACCAAGGCAGAGAGATGGTTTTCCACAGATAGGTTGTTGTATGTCACGTGTGGCAGGATCAACCAGTTGGAAGACCTCATGTTTCAGGAGACCTGGTTTAACAGGAGGCCACCAAAAGAATAGCTATTGCTGGCCCTGGGTGTGAGTAGCTGACCAAAGTGGGCTTTGGTTCCCAAACCGTAGAGAAGGCCTGTGGAGCTGAGGTGGGATGAGCATCTGCCTGGCATGAGTCCTGTTTGAGGGGGCTGTTGGCTCCCCGGTGGGGTACAATGGCTGAGTCATGTCGGGAGGTCCGGGAGGGTGTGCTTCCTCACTGTGGGGTTTGGCAGGGATCTGGTAAGCCAGTTGGCAGATCCTTTTATTGTTTTCCTCTGATGTGCTGAGCCCTCGCAGCAAGATGAATCATGTGCAGAAGAGGATGTGACCCTTTGCTGGGAGCACTCCTCTGCTCCACTGATGCTGAGCAGCCTGGGGCATGCCTGTTGTGCCCAGCTCTAACCAAAGTCCTGTTTTCCAAGAGAAGGTAGTAGTTAGATCTAACATCAAGCATCCACAAACACATCCACAGATGTTTTCTCCTGTCCTCTCCTCCACAGATACTTGATCGCTTTTGTGGCAGTTTACTTCTGCTGCTTGCTGAGGGCAGACGTTCTCAGCTAGCTCGTGGTCATAGTCATAGCTTACTTCAGTTCCAGTCAAGTTTAGGAAATCCAGCCTTGTCATCTTCCCACTCAGCTCTCTTTCTGGGAGATCAGACTGCCAAAGTTTACTGCCTCATGCTAGCACTGTCTCATGTCAGTCAGGGTATCTTGTACCCAGAAGTGCTACCAAAATAAATTCAGTGCAAATGAGTACCTCACTCCCAGATGGGAACTGTGAAGGGTGTTGAATCACATCCCTGTTTTGGCATTGTATGGCTGAGATTTCTGCTTGGGCTCTGGGGAGATGTGGGACAGAGAGCATGGCTGTTTGAGGGAAATCTGCTTGGATGGTTACAGCCAAAAGCTGGTTGTGCAGTGGCCATTTAGGTGTGACTTTGGAAGGCAGAAGGGGGAGTGGCCTGGTTGGACCAGGCAGGACATGTTGGGAGGTCTATAGACTTGCTGCAGGGAGCACTGATGGGCTCTTTTCTAACTTTGTGGAGGCCTGACATGAAAGTTTCCAGTCACTAGTGTCTCTGCATGGGCCTTGCCTTCACTTGAGGACACGCTTGTCTTCAAAATGCTCTGGTCTGGATGATGGTATTGAAATACTGCCAAAACCAGGGGGCTAATCTAGGGCTGAGCAGTAGTCCTTCACAGTCCTCCAACAGGTGTCATGGGCTTGTGTCCTCCATTGCCTGTGAAGAAGCCCATGCTGTTGGCCTGTCTCTGCCATGAGCAGAGATGTGGTGCTGACTCTGTGCTCTGACTAGCTTGGGGTATTTTTCTGCTGGGAACATTCATCAGGGTGCTGGGGTGACATCTTGGCTGATCTCACACACTGCCAGTGCCTGGCAGAGGCGGACAGAAGGGCAGGTTAGGACACTGCCATGTCCCTGCCAAGTGGGGAAGGGACTGTGCCATATCCTGCTGGGTAGCAGGGATGAGTGAACTGTGAGAACATCTTTACACCTACGAACAATGAGCAGAGGTTGAGCTGGCAACAAGCAGCTATTCTTATTACCCTAGAGGAGCTGAGCTGATTTGCAGCTTAATTAATATGCATCAGAACTGGAAATCTGAGATCAGGGTTTTGACTTCCTCAGAAGATATATTCCTCCACTTCATTATTGTTCCAAAATGAAATTCTTTGCAGCTGTGGAGAGTGTTTTTGTTACTGAAAAGGTACTTTCTCCTCCTTGTTATTTATTTCTCTTCCAAGCTCTCTTTCTGGTTTCCTACCTGGAGTTGGTTTGTCATGCAGGAGGCAGAGGCATGCACAAGTGCGTATCAGCAGCAGGGACGTGAATGCAGGCAGCATCCTCTCCAAAAACACTGAGGAGCAGCTAGGAGGATCACACCCACCTAAAAATAAACATTAACATATGTACAGGCCTTTCTGAGCCTGAATCACTGCTGGATACCAGATCTCCACAGATTCCTGCCCAGAGATGGTGCAACAGTCTTCTAGGGAGCAGCCTTGCTTTCTGATATTATGGGAAAGGTGCAGCTTTTTGCTGCTGCTCACAGATTTTCAGGACTTTTGTGTAATGGAAGGCAGCACCAAGGTGAGCTGCTGACACTACTATGTGTGTGTTGTTAACAGCTAGCTGTGGTACTAGTGCAGCTGCAGACAGGAAAACGCAGGCTCTTAGTCCATGTCAGGAAGTTTTGAGTGCTGTAGAACAGAGTGTGGAAACAAGAATTATGTCTGCAAGGGCATTTCTCTGCCTTGTATTCCTTGCCATGATGCCTGCTGGGCTTGGGACTGATGTGGTTTGTTTTCCTTTGGGAGAGCCAAGATGGGAAGGATGGCAGGCGGAAGGAGAGTCAGCGTGGGGGGTTTGCACTCCCACACCCACTGCAGTAACAGTGGAGGGCTTGTTGAGTCACGCAGCAAACAGAACCCATGGGGCATAACCTGAGAAACAGAGGCATCAGGGCTGCTTTGGATGTCCTTACCTTGCTCATGTTAACTGCTTTCCTGTTGCTGCTGCTGCACAGCTGAGCACAGCTGCCTCTTGGGCATGGATGGGGTTTGTGTATGTGGTTCCCAGTGTGGGGATCTCTGAAATACTGCAGGTCAGGAGTGAGTTCTGCTGACGAATCCAGAGCATGGGCCTGGAGAAGGCTGACAGTGAGAGCCAGCAGGGGAGGTGTTGGTTAACATTGGGTGGTGTTGGCACATCTCTCCCATCCCGAGCCATGGTGCTGTATGGACATATATGGTATGTGTAACATGTTGCTCCTTGGTTTTCAGGGGAGCATCCTCTTAGCTGGAATAGCAAGGAAACAGTACAGGTCAGAAGAAAGTACTTCAGCGTACCTTAGCATGTGTGGATGAGCTGGTGGTTCCTGCTTGTACTGGCTGTGAAGCAAGGCAACACTGCAGCTATACATACTGGTGGGAATAAAATTTGCCCAAAGTTGTATATCCCATACTTCTGCTTGAAAATCAGTGGGAGATACCTATTCCAGATGTGTACTCAGAGTTCTATTGATCCTGCCATCGGAGCAGAAGGTCTGAGCATAGAGCAGGGCTTGGAATTCCTGGCTCGGTCACTAGCACACAGCCATCTGTCTCGGTGCTAGTGCTCCAGTCTTTTTGTCTTTTGAGTACAGAGTTCCCATAAGGGAATTAGGAAAATGATGCTTCTGCCTGCAGCTCCCTGGAACTAGAAACAGGAATAAAGGCATCAGAGTTATGCAGCTTTGTTGCATCTTCTAGGTTTGGAGGATCTTCATGATGTGTAAAAGAGATTTATATAGGCACAGGGTGGGGACACATCCAGATGGTCCTTTTTAAACACAGGCTGATAAGGGACTTCCTTGAAGTTCACTAGACACACATTTTGTTTTGGAATTATCCCTTAACAGCACTTGCAATAAAGAAGCAGCAATGGCATTTAGCTGTTAATGTTGACAGACTACTGTTGTGAATGGGGGGTGGAGGTGTTTGCTCCTTTTTCTCCTGGTGGGGTGGCTTGAGCTGAGAACGGTGATGTTTGCTGCTCTCTGCTGGTTTGTTGAGGGTATGATATTCTGTCAGCGGTTCTGGCCCTTGAGTGTGCAGAAGCGGGGCAGTGACTCATAGTAAATCACACTTGGGCTCAGGAACAGGTGATGGAGAGAAGCCTGAAGCCTGACCCCGAAGCAGATAGTAAGGAGATGCACGGCCATCTCGTCCCCTGGGAGGGAGGGCAGCAGCAGGAAGAAGGGCTTACAGCAAGAAACATTTAATGGTCCTTTTTCTTTCTGAATTAGACCAAGTTATTGAATTTGCCACTGGTAGGAGTCATGTCTATGGAATGTGTTGCCCCAGTGCCAGATCTGTGGCTCACATTGCCCTAACTAAACCATTGTTTGTTTTTTCACCAGCACCGGCAGCTGCTGAAAGACAGTTTCATGGTGGAGCTGGTTGAGGGGGCTCGCAAACTACGTCATGTCTTCCTTTTTACTGATCTGTTCCTGTGTGCCAAGCTCAAGAAGCAGATCGGAGGGTGAGGTTTTCCTTCTGGACTATGTGCTTTGTGCCTTAGTTTCAGCAGAATCCTGGGATTAGCCAGCAATTTCAGTTGAAATTGAATACCCCAGAAATGGGTAACCATAGTCCATAAGATGTAGCTAGGCATGATCAGCAAGATAATACTGTCTATTACGAGACCTTGGCCAAGTCCTGATCCCTCAGGAAAGGTTCATTCCTCCTGGCACTGCCCTGAGCCTTCCTAGGAAAATAGAATGTACTATAACTGCTGTCATTCTGGACAGATGCTATTTGTTTCTCTACTTCCCCTTTCCTTTAACAGGTGAAATTCCTCACATTCTTTTGTTACTGAGGTTATTAATTTTGGCCTTGCAGGTACAGCCAGTTAACGGTTTGTCAGAAAAATTGGGAGTACAATAAACAGGCCATGTGCCAACCCCAGAGCGCAGCTCTGCAGTCTTGTTGGCATTCTTCACAAAAGCGGGGGGAGGAACCTTTATCAACATACCTGCCTCAAACAGGGCTTCTCTTCATTTGGTAAATGTTCTACTTGAAGAGACCCCCCCTTGTCTTTTTGCCCTCCTCAGACAGAAAGTTGTCCCTACCCTTTCTGAAGCACACACTTATGAGGAATGAACCGTCAAAAGAGTGGGACATCCCAAGACAGTTGAAGTGGAGAGGGAGTGAATCATGTTAAACATGAAAAAAGTGAATGGATTATCCTGGTGAAATTACTGGAGAATGGCAGCTAAAAGCTGTAATTGCTCTTTTCTGGTTGGATTACACAGAGGTTTATACATACTTGTTCATCTGGCCCTCTTAGCTCAGGCAGGAGAGAGCTGGGTTTAGAAGATAGGTAGCAGCTAGGTGAGAGGCATGGCATGGCTTCTGACCATTGCCTCTGCAGAGGTTTGAAAGGGAGAGCATGCAAGACTGAAAGGGTTTGCAAAAGATCACTGTAGTTTCTTACTCTTAAGAGAAAAAGAAACAGACAACAAAACAAGTTGCCTTGTTAGGTGCTGTACTGGCTATTGTCTGGTTTTGGCTTTCTTGCTGGAAAGTAGCCTTTTGCCAGACTTTTCCCACATGGGGGTCACAGTGAAGTTGTGCCTAGTTCTGTATCTTATGCACTATAGCAGAGAAGGACTTGTGGGAAGGGGAGAGGGTGTTGCCAAACACTGTAAAAGGTTTGGATCTTCTGTCTTTCAGAAAAAGCCAACAATATGACTGCAAATGGTACATCCCCCTCACTGACCTTAGTTTCCAAATGGTGGATGAATCTGAGGCAGTGCCCAATATCCCACTGGTACCCGATGAGGAGCTGGATGCCATGAAGATCAAGATATCCCAGATCAAGAATGACATCCAGCGTGAAAAGGTAAAAGGGGTTAAAGCTTATTGTACAGACTCAGTGTCTCTGCTGAGATGAGGTGCTGAGAGAAGCAGAATTCCCAGAGCTGCACAGCATTTTTAGCGGTCACACTAAACCAGACTGTTCAGCAGAGGCTTGTGGTGCAGCTTTGTTACCAGTGATATTCAGATATTCTGCAGCCCATCGTTGCTTGTTCTAGTGCGTCGCTTGAATGATGGTCTCCTGTGAGGAGGCAGAAACAAAAAGAACCTGTACTTGTAGTCAGTGGCTCCTCTACTTGAACTACCTGTGGCTGCTGTTGCTTAGCATCCATGTGGGGAGCAGGGCTCTTATGCTGTGGACTGGTAGTGTGTCCTCCTGGTTTCTGGCTGTCGAAGGATGATGCTGCAACTGATTTTGGTCAGAAGCCATGTACTTCTGAATTTTTGCAGGCTCAGTTACATATCTGAAGCTTTTTCTGACTTCACCAGTATCAAAGCACCAGCAAATATAGGGAGAACACCAATTATACTGACTGGACAGTCTGACACAGATATGGTGTTTCTGGCCCAGGTTTCTCCTTGCTTTCAAGACATGTTTTCTCAGAGATGTTAGACTCAGCTTTCCTGGAACCTGAAAGAGTAGTAAGATTTTGAACACTAAAAGCCTGCTGGTGTGTAGAACAGGATATCAATAATATTGCTTGTACCATGAGAAGACTAACACCTGTGCTTCCAAATAACATGCTTCTGCCTTTATTCCCTGGCTGGCTTTCAGAGAGGGCTTCCTGGAAAAAGTAAGATGTTAGCAAGAACACTGTGTGGCAGCCTCTTACTCACGAGGTGCAGGAGTCTTGAGATACACGCTTCAGTGCATCAGTGCCAAACCATACACTTGGCTGGGCTTGGGTCTGGGTTTTATCCAAGAAAAACCTTGGATTTAGCTGACCTCTGAAAATGGATCAGTGGGTGGTGAGTGGGAGAGTTCTGGGCAGCTTCTAGAGAAGTTCCTTATAGTATCCTAGAATAAGGATACTTGTGGAGGACCTGGCAGTGCTATGGCTGCCCACTGGCTTGCTGCTGTTGCAGCCTCTGGAACAGAAAGTACAGGGTATAGCTGAGACAGTGGCCATGCACCTCTGCATCTTCATCTGGGGCAGCTGGAACTGGGGCACAGAGCCAAGTTTGAATGCAGATATACTGCAGGTAACACTTTCCTGAGCAGCTGATGGCCCTGTGGATCCTCCTGACAGCATTTCTCCAGCCCATTTGGTTACTCACAGAGGAAAGAGATTGTGCATCTTTAAATATCTGTCAGTATAAATAGGGGCAGATGTTGGAGAATGATGTGTCCCCTGTCTCCCTCTCTCCCCCATCCTCCAGAGGGCTAATAAAGGCAGCAAGGTTATTGAGAGGTTGAAAAAGAAGCTGTCGGAGCAGGAATCCCTCCTATTGCTGATGTCGCCCAACATGGCTTTCCGGGTACACAATCGCAATGGCAAGGTGAGTGGCTCTTCTAGTCTCCCTCAGTGTACAAGTCAGAGGTCATGGGCTGTGTGTGTTTGTATACGCTGTTGTACAAGGTCTTTATGCCCTGTTGTCTGGCCTGAAAGCAGGTCTGGTCTCAGTGGTCACTCAGACTAATGCATACCCCCTCTTCTTCTGTCTTCCTGGGTAGAGTTACACGTTCCTCATTTCATCCGACTATGAAAGGGCAGAGTGGAGGGAGAACATCCGGGAGCAGCAGAAGAAATGTGAGTGTCCTTCAGCCGGGTATTGGTACAAATACTGTGATCTTAGTAGAGGGCAGCAGGCCAGATGATGAGTGTGGGGCAGGGTTCCCTACAGAAAGACAGATGTGTTCAAATCCACAGCACAACATGGATGTCTTCTGTCTCTGCATATCTGAGCCTGTCTGAGGGACTTTTGCTTGCAGAAACATGTAGGGAACATGTAGGGAAAGCACTTGGTAAGTGTGTGGAGAGATTCTCCCTATTGCCTTAGAGAGTAGAGCTCTGTGCAATTCCAGGTAGAGGGATCAGCTGCACACTTTTATCTGGCTGTAGTCCAAAGAAGCATTTTTGCCATGGGTGTGTTTTGGCTTTGCAAGCAAATAAAAGCACTGCTGGTTCCTGTGAACCACTCTGAGACTTTTTACTCTAAAGAGACACTAAATATGCCCTCAATAGAGCTGGGCTGCAGCAGCAATACAGTCCTAAGCACCACAGTCCTGATGCTGAGCATTGCCCAGGGAGCAGCTTCCCATGTACGCCCATATTGAGGAAGCATGCATCCAGCCTCTGCTTTGAATCTTAATTCCTCGCTCTTTGACTCTCCTTGGCAGGCTTTAAAAGCTTCTCACTCACATCGGTGGAACTCCAGATGCTGACAAACTCCTGTGTGAAGCTTCAGACTGTCCACAACATTCCCCTTACTATCAATAAGGAAGGTGAGACCTTTGGTTTATTCTTTCACATGGTTCAGCTGCACTGAAAACCTACCTCTGCCTGCCTTTGTGCGTTTCCACTAGCACTGCTCTTACTGTTTCTTTTTGCCAAAGGCTTCAACCTGGTGATGAGTTACAAACTGAGAGCATGTGTACCCAACTTGCGTAGTTTAGTTGAAGTAGATAGCATACAAATAGAGAACAGCAGGAACAAGGTCAATCTGGCATCTCAAGGTTACTTGCTGCAACAATGAAAATACAACCTCCAAATTATATGGTTACATCTAAATTAGTAAAACATTCCTGGACATCTTCCAGTTTGTTGACTACGGAGTGGTCTCTACGTGCATCCATCATGCCAGGGACTGGAGTGCCTGTTGGAGTCCTAGCTGTGCAATCCTATGGAAGAGCACTAGTTGGCCAAAATTGTGTCAGAGACCATCCTAAATTACTATTTAATCTGCTAGCATAATTTAGTCTCTATATTTTACTACTTTTCCTCTATATTTTACTACTTCTCCTTTGAATTTCTTCCATGTTATCTTGCTGACCAGAGAAATATCATTGTAAAAGCCATACATTGCCAAAAGGCATTACAGATGGAAGCAGCACTGAACCTGGATGAGTCTCCTCTTGCTGAAATGGCTGGATTACATGCTCCTGCCAGCCTTTGTAGGGACAGTTTACCTTCTGCTCTTTAACTTGTGTAACATCAATCCCATCATTCTTTCACTCTTGACTCCTCCATGAATGTAACAAAATTCCTTGGCTCTTTTGTACAGATGATGAATCCCCAGGTCTCTATGGATTCCTGAATGTCATTGTCCACTCTGCCACAGGATTCAAGCAAAGTTCAAGTGAGTTGCAGTTCTGTATAACACAGAGGTAGGGGTTAGATAATTCAGATGCTGGGACAGCTGGGTGTGGGCTGGTTTAGCATTGGGGTGATGGTGAGGAGAGGTGATTTGGGGAACTGCAAGTGAAATGGAGGCTCTTGTGTGAATTTAAGGGGATTCAGGTTTTTAATGGTACTATTAACACTCAGAAAGATCAGTGTCGTGGTTTAAGATCAACCCAGGACAGATCAGGATCAAAGATCAAGCATACAGTATTAATTTTTAGGCCTGGTCTGTTGGTATTTTTTAAGCAGTGTTTGCTGATTACGCAACACTTGTAGAAATAAACCTGCTTCTGAGGCACTGATGAAGATAATCTAGGCAAAGCTGGAAAGCTCACCTAGCCATGTGGCTGGGGATCCTGTGCTTATCTAGGGTGCCTGTGCAGTCTCGGGGGGAAGGAGTGAACTGAATGTACATCCTTTCTGTCAGCCTTCCTCCTGCTGAGGCACTGGCTTCCCAGAGGCCACTGACATCACTTTATAGTGTAATTCACAAATAAGGGCAATGTCTACAGCTCATTACTAGCTCTTCAAAAACACCAGATACCACAAAATGAACCAATTTGTGAAGAGAATGAGGTTTTGATGGCTAGCCTCTAACCAGCTCTCTGAGGGATATGATGCTGATGCTGTTCTCAGTGAAATTGGTTCTAATGTATTGATGGGGTCCAGTGTCTAGCTGGGGAAGTTTCATTTCTCTTTGGTATGTACATTCTGCTCATTGTGGATTGATCTGGGAAATACTGGGTAATAGCATACACCTGATTCTTGATAGAGGTGAAAGGCTTGTCTGTGTGGAGGTCATTTATGCAGCTGTGCTGGCACTTCAGCTTGGTAAAGGCAACTCTGCTAGTCCAGATGATGAGGTTTGTGCTGGATGGTGTTATCAATGTTAATACAAAGAAGATGCAGATGAAAACACACCCTGAAAGTGATGAACACAAGGTAGGAGATTCTAGACATTTTTTACAAGTTTCTGTCTCTCCTCCTCAGATTTGTACTGCACGTTAGAGGTGGATTCTTTTGGGTATTTCGTGAACAAGGCTAAAACTAGAGTTTACAGGGACACCACAGAGCCCAACTGGAATGAGGTGGGTTGGATTTTTCTTAATGTGACTTGCTCCATGTGCCGAACATCAGCATATGATGGTCAGAAAGCCCACAAATGGAAGAACTTGCTGCATGCTCAGTACTTGTGCTGCATTTGCTGCCTGTCAGAGAACACTTTTATGCCAGGTTCATTTGGCTGTCAGGGTTTGCAGATTTTATCTTGGATTAGCTAAACAAACATTTCCGTACACATGAGTCTTGTCGAGCATTTCATCATCTAAACAGAGGCATGTCTGGTTATTTTTTGAAAGACACAGATGAAAAATACATTGAAGAAGGAGGTGGTTTTGTTTTATTTGTTGTGAGGGGGAAGAATTAGCTATAGACATTTTGCCTGTTTACAGCCAACTCAAACCTATTGGGGAGCTAATTTAAATACAGGAAAAGTGGGCGAGTTTTGTTTCTTTGAATGAGGCTTTGCTGAAACTCGGTGAAACCTGACTAGGGAGTCAAACATCTTAGTCTCTGATTTGACCACTTGTATATACAAAATACAATCTCACTTTATTTGTAGACCAACTCCATTAGGGGGGTGGTTTTGGTCAGTCCTTAAGTGCTCCCTCCTGATGAGTTTTCAGAGACTATATTGATTATTCAGAGACTGGTGTCCTGCTGTGATGCATTCATTGCTCTTTCCTGGTGCCCTGCAGGAGTTTGAGATTGAGCTGGAGGGCTCACAAACTCTGCGGATTCTGTGCTATGAAAAGTGCTACAACAAAACCAAGCTTACTAAAGAGGATGGAGAGAGCACAGATCGCATAATGGGTAAAGGACAGATCCAGGTAAGACTGTGCTTAATTCAATCCTGCTACCTTTACTGCAAAACATAACAGGACTTCTGAATCCTGGAGCACCAGGGAGGCTGCTTTTCTGCCTTCTGATTGTCTCAGCACTGGAGATTTTTCTCCAGATAGGGAGGTATTCAGTGTGATTCACAGGCAGAAAGCAGCTTTTTCCCCTCTTGCCTTGTCCCCTCTGCCTACATCAGTACCCTTAAGGAATAGATGCTTTTTCATGAGAATTTATGTTTTGACCTCTGATTTGCCTGTTAACTTCAAAACTTCCAGCACAGTACATAGGAGCTGCTCTCTCACTGAGCCCTGGGCACTGTCGGGGATGCTCCATTTGTGACAAAAGAGGAGGCAATGAATGTGCTATCCCATTTGTAAGTCAAGCAGAAGAAATACTACCTTCTCTACTTGCTGGAAGGTGATTGGTGTGTTATCAAGGCCTTGAAGGACAGGCTTATTGTCCTGGTAACTGCCGTGTCCATAGTACAGTGTCCATGACAGCGGGCTGCATCTGAGATTTCCGCTGCTGATAATCAGCATGGGACACTTTGTCTATGTGGTGAATTTGTAATACAGGAGGGGAGGTGATGAGATGGTTGCAGATGAATGCTGCTCTCAGGGAGCCGCTGTATGATGAAGCTTTAAAGCTCTAGGCAGGAGAAATCAGGCCATCAGTGAGGATGACATGATGAATATGTTCCCCATCTCTTGCCAGTTCATTGCGCTGTCTGTCCGCAGCTTTAGGAGGGTGTTTAAATGCCTGCTCTGAGAGCACATTCTTTGTGCTGGCCTGGCTGTTGTACAGAACAGGGACTCTGCACAGATAGCTTTTTCTTTCTGGCATGCTGAAAAATGCCATCGTTCTCCTCCATTTACGTTTCACTGATCATCACTCCATGGATGACAGCTTTCTCCAGCGTTTGAGCGATGGTCACACAGGCCCAGGCCATTTGTGGGATTTCAGAACTGCTCTGATTGAGGGCAGCCTGCAGGATCAGATCTCGCCTCTCCTCTGGAAGGGTTCATCATCCAAATGAGTTTCTTTAGGCCTGTTCCTTTCCCTCCCTCCCTCCTCACAGCCCTGAGGCTGCCCTGCTGTTACAGGGAAGGCTTTTGTCATCAAATGCATGGTAGGTGTTTAAAAGAAAACCTGCGTATAAATCAAGAAATGCTGGTACAGGGTGGCTCCTGTGTATGTCTCAGGCTAACCAGAAATCTGTATGTCCCTTCTGCTAACAAAAGCTTATTTTTCCTTGGAGCTGAGCAACTGCAAAAGAGCAGGTTTTCAGCCTTGAAATGCCCTGGAGTGTGCTTATAATGGAAATCCTGAAATCACTGAACGGCTAAATTCTTTAAATATTTTACACAGAAGTATTAAAATCAATAAAAATATTTTAAATTTTAAACTTTTTCTTCTTTTCATAAGAGTGGGCATTTTTATGCACAGCACTTGTACCTTCTCTTAAAACACTTTATAAGTAAAAATACTCTTTGGAGACACTTGAACATTAATTGCATCCTGATTCTTTTAGGGAAACCTAAACAGTAAGGAGGGGGGAAAAAAGAGGGGTTTTATGAATGTGCAAAAGCTGCATTCAGTTGTATCACAAAAGGCAAATGCAAAAGGTCCCTTATTTTCAGTAAATGCCCCTTGCAGTTTATAAAGAAACGTGGTAAAGTGCAGAACATCCTCTTAATTCTCAGTGATTCTTTCCCACCACACCACTTTTTAACACTATGGAGTAGCAGCAAAGAGAGGTCTTAAGAAAGTCTGTGAGATTTTGGGTTGGTAAGAATTATTGAAGGTTTTTATTTTGCTTTAGTTTTATTTTTAAAACAAATACCATGTCTCTATTAAGAAATCATTATAATAGAAAACCAAAATCAAGCTACCATCTGTGGCTGAAGGTGAGCGGTATTGATGCTGTCAGCATCCCTTCCAGGCCCTGTGTTTATAGTCATTTTCTGTCAGGGTTTTCCCAGGCGCTTTTACATCAAATTTAGTTTACTTGAGCACTGCTGTTGTGTCTCGGGCTTTCTGACTTGGTTTTGCTGCATTGCCATTGTTGAGCCACAGCCTGTCTTGTGGAAAGGCCAAGTCTCCTAAGCTGGATGAGGCTTTTTTCATAACTTCCCTTTAGTTAAAATCTCTGGGAATGTCAAGAGTTGTGTCTGCATCCTCCTGCTGACACAAACAGGGAAATTTCTGTTCTGGTTAAATTGCAGTGTATTGTTAAGCCGACTGTTATTGTAAATCTGCAACTTCCCACTACTGGGATTTCTGACTCACCAGATTCTCTGCCCTGCAGTGATGAAGACAATGCATCAGGGGCACCAGGGCTGTTTTGACTGTGGAGTGTTTATTAAGTCTCTCCATCAGATTGTGCTGCTGGAGGAAGGAAGCCTGGAAATTGGTCCATGTGGTCAGAAGCTTCCAGGAATGGGCAACAATTTTAATAGCTTCCATTACTCATATTTTCTTTTCCTATGGAACATTTTATTTACCTCTTTTTATAGCCACATGCGAGAGCTTCATTGCTTGCCAAGCTGCAAGGTTCATCCCTGACAGATAAACCCACAGTGTTTTAATATGGGAGAGCGTCCTGGAAACGTGGCAATACAGTCCTCATCAGACCTGGGAGTGACAGGCAGGATGTGCAGTGGTTAGCCAGCCAGTATCCATGGCTGAGGGTTTCTGTTACATCTCGGGTGTAAGAAATACAGGGAGAAGGTGCCATTCCTGGGTATGCTCTGAAACTGAAATTACTTGGGGCTTGGGGGAGAAAGGAATGGACATTATCTTATGGGTGGGAACATGAGACTTAGTTCAGTTGTAAGCATCAGCTGCTCTCATTTTGAACTTGTTTTTTTCCCCTCTGTTGTTACCTTGCCATCCACCTTGGCTACTCGGGAGACCGGCCCTTTTGCTCTTTGAATTTTGCCCTTATGTGGCACATCTGCATGTTTTGAGTGTTGCAGCCTTTTGTTTGGTCCTGAGACTCTGCATCTAAGTGGCACATATGTCAGCAAAAATGGCCTCTGCCTTGGGAACAAATGACATGAGTAAACTGATACTTCCTCTGTGATCCAGCTCTTCCAGTTGGTACCTCCTAAAAATGCTGTTTCCTTTTCTTTCCTTTTTCTGCATGATCAGCTCAGGGAAACCATTTCCTTCTCCCTCACAGCAGTGCTGGAAAACCAGAGGATATGACCTTAGATCAGTCATTCTGTGGTAGCAGCACAACACCATTCCTCTGTTGCCATGCAAAACAATCACTCTCTCCCTAATTATTGGGGATGTCTCATAGCCGTGCACATGGCTGTTGTCAGATACCTAGGTGGATTTCCATGTAAAACAGATTGTCAGAGGCTGTACCTCCCAAGTGTCAACTCGGAAAACCTTTTACACACTTGAGTTCATTTAAACAGTTTGCTCATGCAGAACAGTATCCCAGCAATGAAAACAGAGTGAAAATGAAGCAAGCAATGGGTCATGTCTAAAGGGTGATGGTGGGAAAGATTAACATGTCAGTGGGGAGCTTTGAGAAGAATGGGGTTATGGCTGGACTGGGAGTTTCTAGCAGCAGTGAGACTGACAACTTGTATGTCACATCAGTTACAATTAAAAATTGATGGAGTGTAAAGTTGCCAGGGAGATTTAATAAAGGGAGGAAGTAATGTGAATACATACCATAAAACACACTAACCTTAAGATTGCCTCAGTCATTGCTCCCAGGCATTTCATTTCCACTGATGCCTCTTTGACTTTTCCTCTTTCTGTATGTTTGCTTTTCTGGGGAAAACAAAACTAAATCATTGACCTCTGGGGTGGTTTCCTTAAGGCAGAGCACGGACACCCTGGTTCTAGTGCTTGCTGCATTTACCATGGACCAGCATCCACAATTCACCTTTTCCCATGTCCTCAGCACCCTGTGTTCTGCACACTCAGCCTCTGCTGACTGCTGTACACTGTTTGTCTGTCCTAATTCAGTCCTAAGCTGCAGTGAGGGCCAGAGACTTGCACTGAGAGGTCCCTGTGGTGCTGAGCTGCTTTGTTCTGTTGTGGTTTATGCAGGATATGGAGAGGCGTTTGCTTAGTGCATTAGTGAATGTGGGGCTGTAGCTTGCCACTGCCAATGGCAGGGAGTGGGCCACAAAGGGACTGCAGGTGCTTAGGGGTAAAGACAAACTGGTTGGTTTGTGTTTTCCCTGTGCAGTGTGAGCTGTGCAAACAAGCTCCTGAGATACAGTCGTTGAGGGTTATAGCAGGTCTGTCCTGTTTGCATGGGTCTCGGAAACCACACTATTTTTTGCAGTTTTAGTTTTAGAGATAGGACAGGTCCTTTTGTCACTCAAACCAAACAGATGTTTGAAGGGAATGTTCAGAGGTGCAGTATATCTCCTGTCACATTAATGGAAAGCAGCCGTTTCACAGTGCTCCCTGCCTGAGCTGGCAAAGCTGGCACTGTGCTCGCTTTTGGCACAGTGGCTGTAGAACACATTCTCCTGCTCAGTGTTCCTCCTTCCAGATCACTGATCTCCAAATGAGGCCATAAGACAGCACAATCTCATTCATCACAGGCCCTCTCTGTGCTGGGAGCATCACACTCACTGTCTTTGTCTTCAGTCTGCTTTGCAACCTGCCTGCTCCAGCTGCCTTCTCCCTGAGTTGCTCTTGCTGCCCTTGGAAGGTTGCTCATTGATAGGGTCCAGGACTGAAACCTTGCTCGAATTCTGAAGGCTGTTCCTAGTTTCCTGTTGACTTTGTTATTTCCTGCTGCAGCTTTCTCAGACTGTTAGACCTGCTCTTCCTGTCTCTCTGTTGCTGAGAGCTTGTTTAAACTTTGCTCTTTTATTAGCATCCATCGTTTTGGTTTGCTATTTAAAAAGCACCAGGGGAGGTGGGGGGATTTCTTAATTGCTGTAGTTATTGCCAGTGATTTATGCAGGTTGACTTGGGTCAGCCAGGACCACTCCTGGTGCTTGTTCTCCCTGGATGCCTCCTTCAATACAAGCAGGAATCAAAGAGCAGGTGGGGAGTGCAGGGTCCTGTTGGCCCTGCAGCAGGCTTCAGAGATAAGGGAGCAAGAGGCAGGAGCAAGTACACTCACAGTCTGTGCTCAGCTCCAGTAGTTACCCAGCAAGGAGGAGTCTCTGTGAGCTTTGGGCTCCAGGACACTTTTTACTGCTCCTTCACAGCCCTTTGCTCTTGAGAGAGAGCAAGACTTTTTTGGGCTCATGCTTTTTAACACTTCACTTGCTTTTGTTCTGTAGGGGTTCCCTGGTCATCACTGGGCTATGACCAGCAATACCTGTTAGCTTCAATAACCTGTAAGTGGAGCCTGCTGGGCTCTTCCTTTAGTATTCTTGGCAATTACCAGGGCCCTCTTTCCCTTTCATTCTTGAGCAGTCTCTCCCTCCTATAAATAATACAGTCTCAGTGTCTCCATTCTAAAAACATATGGAAAACTGCTTCTGAGCTGGTGGATTGGCTGTGACTGTGTCTATCAGCAGGGCTGTTTTGGCAGCTTAGCGAGATGACTATTTAGGCAGCTGGAGATCAAGCTGTCAGGAATACTGAGCGTGGCTGCTCTTCAGAGGAAACCAGACACTTCAGAAACGGTTTCCTCTTGATTCTGGGAAAGAATGCAGTTGTTGAAAGGAACCAAACTTCCCGCACGGAAAGTCAGGGAAGAACAGCCCTGATTCTGGCTGGCTCAAGGGGCCCTTGGCCAGCAGCGCCAGCGGGGCGGATCTGTTCTGCCCGATTTATAAGCAAACCCTGTTGGCAAGCAGTCTGCTGTTTGGGTTTGCTGAAGCACTGAAGCTAAGCGCTGCAGCCTATTGGTCTCCTGGACCTTTGTGCAGTCCCAAGATGTGGGAGCTACTGGTTACTGACTATTCCTTACAAGGAGTCTTCAGGAGTTTCTGCCAGAGCTGCACCTACAGGAACCGGTCCAATTCGACAGGGAAGCACATGTGTGCTGGCAGCATCCCGCTGTGGGCTCACGTCCGTAACAAAGTGCGCAGGGATAAGGTTGGCCTGACTTACTTGTCTGTTGCTTCTTGGGGGGTCTGCAGTGGGAGCAAGCAGGGAGAAACCTTTCTCTCTGGTGGTTGTGTGTTTTGGTGAGTGGGGAAGGGTGAGGGGGCACTTGTGTCTGTAGCTGACAGCAGCATTGGGCTGGTTTGTTGATGAGCTGAAAGAGCATGACTGCATCTAAGATCTCCCCGGATATACTGCAGTTGCCGTTGCTTCAGCATCTACCTCTACCTGTCAGAGAGCTCTGCTTCTGCAAGGGGTGCTGCAAGGAAGGAGCTGGGCTGCAGAAGTGGCTCTAGTTTCTGAGTGTCTTCTTGTTTGCTGATGACAGTAAGTTCAGAACACAGAGTCTGCTGCAGTTGCCTCCTCCTGGTCTTATACTGTGCTTTAGTGTTCAAGAGCCAAGTGTTAAAAACCATCACGGGGGGCACCAAAGACTGCTTGCTTTGGCTGGTTCTGATCGCTGAGAGGAGTCCCCATGCACACAGCTCTCTTATCTCTTATCCCAGTCTAGCTTGAGCCGAGTGCCACTCTTCATGCACTCAGGTGTGTCTGGGCTCTCCCAGGCAGTATTGGTGTTGTTGGGTGGTGTCTGAGTACTGGTCAGCTGCTCCCCAGCCTTGCTGTCCACTCAAAAGAGATCAGGCAAAGCTGAAAATGGAAGATCAGGGCTTTGCCTCAGGACTCGTTTTTATTTCATGAGTGCTTGCAATAGCAGGGCCAGGTGTACCTCCTGCCTCCATGCTTGGAAATGAATAGGAATGGGTAGCTGAGGGAGGACAACTTTCCATGATTTCTGGTCCAATTTTCTCCATTTCTTCTCTGTCACATCCTGACAGAGGTTTGGTTTGGTTGAAGTTACTTGTCTCTGTATAAACACTTCATGTTTCTCTTCCTTGGTCTCACTGTTGGGGTGGTTATGTCTTTTGAATTCAGTGGAACATAGTCCTCCTTAGAAGCTATTAGCTTCATAGCAAAGAGCCATGAAGTTCTCCAGCCTGGCTTTTTACTTCAGTGTAGTAATATCACACTCATCCAACCTCATCTGTCTCTAGAAAACTTCAGAGGGAGACAGCTTCCTTTGTTTCAAATCAGAAGTATTTCAGAGATCTGTCTTCCTCAGCCCTGCTTAGAGACCCACACAACAGCAGTGCCCCGTTACCTGGAGCCGGGGAAACCTTGGAAATCTTTTCCTATAGAAAAGAAATAGCTTGTTGAAGGTGCTCTGCTCATTTACACAGCCCTTCCAGGCTCGCTGATTTCCCTGAAGTCTGCTTCTAGCTCATGCATCACTTCTATGTTTTTCAGCTGGACCCACAGGTGTTGCAGGACAAAGACTGGCAACGCACGGTCATCTCAATGAACGGAGTAAGTATGCAAGTAGAAGTTAGCACTGCTTCTGTACCTCTCATGTGCTTTAATTCCTTGCTCTTCATTGCAGCATATTAAAAAGAAAAGAAAATGTTTGAGAAGTAGCAGCTGTTCTCTTTCTCTTTTCTATCCAGGTTGAAGTGAAGCTGTCAGTGAAGTTCACCAGTCGGGAGTTTAGCCTGAAGAGGATGCCATCCCGGAAGCAGACCGGGGTTTTTGGGGTCAAGATAGCTATTGTCACCAAGTGAGCTGATGGGTCACGTTTCTCCCTATAAGATACTAGACATCCACTTGGCCAGGGGCTTGCACTGAGGGGTCGGTCAGGCCAGCCTGCTCAACAGGGCAGGAGCACAGAAGGCTGTGGCTGCAAAAAAGAGGTGCTCTACATCCTCTGAGCTTCATTTTTTGCAGGCGAAAAACTAGTGTGGGCCCAGGCTTTGAAACCCAGGGTGTTTACTTACAGTATATCACTTTCCTGAGCTCCGGATATACCCCTTGCCCCTTTACTCTGTAGTTAACCGACTTGGTCACAAATTTCCAGAGCCACCAAACAGTGGTGTTTCCGTAACCAGAAATGTTGAAGTTCTTTGGATCCTGATATATTATTTTAACCCCTGATCCTTTGTCATGAATCGTTTGCCAAAAGAAACCTTTTTGTTCTGTTACACAGTTTGGGAAGTGTGGTATTTCCTCCCTATGGAATTGCATTGATTTGAAAGCACCAGTGTTGCTATGTATCCAAGGACTGCTTGGGAATCCTCTGATCACCTGAGCAGAGTCATAAGCTTTTGGGGCTCTGGGACTTGGCCAGAAAGAAGCTCAAGCACTCAGGGAAGCTGTAGAACAGCCAAAGCCAGGCTGAGACAGTGAGAAAAGCCCCTCCAGTTTTAAAAGGAGTGTTTCAGCTCAGACTGGATTGCCCCTCAGTCTTTCTCCCACCCCCTTTCCCAGACAAAGTTTGCACAACAAACTGGTGGGGTGATGTTAGCTGGCCTGGCTGGGGTGACAGGCAAGGGGGGGCACGGGCTGCACTGAACTCTTCTGTTTGGCTTTCTTAAGGAGAGAGAGATCAAAGGTGCCTTACATAGTTCGCCAGTGTGTGGAGGAGATAGAGCGGCGTGGGATGGAGGAGGTGGGCATCTACCGTGTCTCTGGGGTGGCAACCGACATCCAAGCTCTGAAAGCCGCCTTTGATGTCAGTAAGTATTTGTGTCTGACGTTCTCCTTTGCCTCGCGCGAGCTCCCCGTCAGGTGGTGATGCGGTTTTAGTCTTCTGTTCCCCAAGAAGCATTCAGAGGCAGAGATTCCCTCGCACAAGGAGAATCGGGTTACCCCTGGCTGCATGTTTTGTTAATACTCTTCTGCTCCAGATACAAGGTGTACAACATAGTGGGTCCCTATAGCAGGTAACACATCCGTTGTTCTTCCCAACAGACATGGAATGGTGGCTTTGCCTGCCTTGCAGATCTGTGTAAAGGGCAGACACCTTCCTCTGGGGAAGTGGCAGGAACCAGAAGTCATAATTTCCTCAGAGTTGTGAGGTCTCCAAGTTAGTAAAAGCCCTTGAAACTAAGAATGTTACATGGAAGGAAGCCAGCCAAAAAGAAAGATGTTCCAAGGAACATTACCCAGGAAAAGGGTTTGTGAGACTGGAGTTGGGCTGCCAGGGCTCCTGAGTTCTCCTCTTAACTCCAGATTGATGTCTGCAGGTTGTAAAATCAGATAGTTTTGACCAAGCTCTGTAAAGCTTTCTTTGATCTTGAGCATAAAAGGGCTCCTTGCTGGAGCTGTGTTTAAAAGAATGGCCTGTACGTCCCAACAGGCATCCAAGATCAGGCAGAGGAAATGCCTCCAGATCGCTGAGGTACAAAAAAGTGAAGTTCTGCCCTACTTCCAGCCTCCACAGGACAGTCCAAGGACTGCTCAAGCTGCATTTGAGCTCTCTTTGATCTGGGCAGTCAGGAGGCCTGTGCCCAGTGCCTCAATTCACCCTCCCTGCACTTTTTCTTCGTTTACTTTGTGAAGTTTCTTCTTTCTTGTAGCCCTAAGTTACAAACCCCATTGATTCCTGACCTGAGCCTTCAGCAGTGCAAGAAAAGGTTCACATTTTGAAAGACAACCTTTTTCATTCATAGTAGATGCTGGTTTACACTGAGCTTCGTGAAACCAGCGCTGCCTCTGTGGGTTGGTCTGTTTGTTTTAGGGAAGGGGGGTGGTTTTGTTGTTCTTAATGGTCACAGAACTGAAATGTGAGTAACGGAACAAAGTACCCTGAATTGCCTGTGTACTTTGGCTGCACTCAGTGGGGAGTCAGACAGCCCCGAAATCATTTCTTCTAAGCTGTTAAGAGGCAGGGAATTGGAATAACAAAAGTTGAAACGCATGTAAATACAGTCAAGTGGGGCTAGTTCCAGATCAGGCTGAGGCTGCTGGCACAGTGTAACTAGCCCTGGGTGGTGTGAGGTTCCCTCTGCTCCATTTAAAGCTATGAACTGTTTGCAGTCATTTGTGCAGCGCTGCTCAGTTGTCAGAAGTAGCTCATTAAGTCTGGAGGAACGTAAACAGGAAAACTCTCAGCTATTTGGGCAAAGACAGCGGGTAAACAAAGAGGGCCAAAGCCAGAAAGGAAGGAATGCAAGGCCAGCAGCTTCTTTACCCTGCTTCCCCTCTTCCCTCTCCCAGATAACAAAGACGTGTCGGTGATGATGAGCGAGATGGATGTTAACGCCATTGCAGGCACCTTGAAACTGTACTTCCGGGAGCTGCCTGAACCCCTCTTCACAGATGAGCTGTACCCCAACTTTGCTGAGGGCATTGGTAGGTAGCAGCAGAAATAACTCCCCATAACCGAAACTCTTCTGTATGAGGCTGCTCTTAAACCCCCATATTTATAGCATTGGACAGAAGCCTGGAACAAGCTGTTAGGGAAGTGGAATGGAGCTCAGAATGGCATCATCCTCCTGTGAGCTTGAATACAGGGAATTGCTCTGCTGTCTTGTAAGCTGAAAACGTGCAGGTTTCTGAGGGTGGGTTCAGAATAGAATGAGCCCCTGCTTGTGGAGGGTGAGCACGCCATGTCCCCCACTAGGGAAGCCCTCTTGGGGTGGGGTTATACCTTGTCTGGGTAAAAACATCGTAGGGTGGTAAATGTGAAAGCGCTTGAACTGCTTGAGAGGAAAGGATTCTCTATGTGTCTCTGAAACAAAGAGATCCTGTGGGGTACTGATGTGCAACTCTGACCTTCCAACCTATGATGCAATTACAGCCCCTTCAGGGCCTTCTGTGTTTGTTGGTTTGGGAAGTGATGTGGTCAAACTCCCACTCATGGTGGTGTTTTGTTCTTTTCTGTCCTGCAGCACTTTCAGACCCTGTTGCAAAGGAAAGCTGTATGTTGAATCTGTTGTTATCACTTCCAGAGCCCAACCTTGTGACATTCCTTTTCCTTTTGGACCATTTAAAAAGGTAATATGCGGATCCTTTAGACACTTACTTTATGTGTAAATCATCATTATTTTGAGAAGAGGAGCCTCTTCCTTGAGCTCATGCTGAATCACACAAAGGAAGAAGCATTTGCTGATCTACGGTGAATGCTTATCAGATAGCTGTTGTCTCATGTTCACTTAGGCACTAAATCCTGAACTCTATCCTTACTTACATTGAAAGGATTAGAACTGGAGGAAAAGGGTAACAAAAGTCCCTGGGCTTATCTAGTGCAAATGCTGCAGTATCATTGCAAAACTGCACCTGCATCTGGATACAGAGATGAGGAAAGGTTTTAGTGTAACTCACGAAGCTTTGGCCATGTTTAAGGACTTGTAAGCCCTGTCTCGAGAGGGGTCTGCAATCAAACAGGATGTATTTCTGAAAAGTCCAGCACTTCTGCTCTCTGGGCTTGTCAGTTCCCTGCTTAGATTGGTCCTGCTCTCGTCTAGATCTTTGTAATATGGTTGTAACTGTATGGTTGATATTAATGTAAGAAGCTTGCTCAATTCCTGCACATTGATATATGTAACTTGTACGTACCAGCAACTGTCACTGAGAGATGAAAGGTGATTTGTGACTGAGGGCCTGGACTCAGGAAGTCTGTGTTTTACTTGTGGTTCTGCTGCAGGCTTTTCTGCCCTTAGGTAAATCTTCTAACCTTTGTGCCTCAGTTTGTCATTTATAAAACTGGGACGAGAAACATTCCTTTATTCCTGAGAGTGGTTGACTGAACGTATCTAAACCTTTTTACAACAGGAATAAATCCGGTTTCTTCCTTAAGGACACTTCCAAATGTGGGTTTTTATAAGTCTTGCCTTTTTCATTGTTTCCTCTCCCAGAGTTGCTGAGAGGGAAAGCGTTAACAAGATGTCCCTGCATAATCTTGCAACTGTCTTTGGACCAACACTGCTCAGACCTTCAGAGAAGGACAGTAAAATCCCTGCCAACCCGACGCAACCCATCACAATGACGGACAGTTGGTCACTAGAAGTCATGTCCCAGGTAAAATCCTCAGTGTGCTACTGCATCTTCTGCAGGCAGTACCTGGGGAACTGCAGTCCTCTGGCAAGGCCTGGGCCTTTTGAGGACCACAGACACTTTCACCCCTGCGCCGGCTTTTAGACTGTTTGTAGAACAGTGTTTCTTGAGACAGTTCAGTTTGTATCTGTACCAACACAGCTTTCATGGAACAAATGTCAGGTTAAAGGCCATCAGTGGTTTTCCATGATGCTCCTCAAGACTTAAACCTCCTTCACTGATGCACAAGAAAATTCTTTGCTAAATTCAGATTTCTTTGGCTACTGCTGCCTTCTGAAGGTGGTGCAGAGAGGCTGTTCCCTGGTCAAGGGCATTTTGTATGTTCTTGATTGAGTAATGGCAAATTATAGCTCAGATTTTTAGAGTACACTGGAACACGAACACCAACACCATTATTACACACTGGAATGCACTCCTGAAAAGAGTCTCTCTGAAGCTCTGCAGGTTTTAATATTCCTGCTGGTATTGTGCCCTGTATTAAAACAAATACATAACCGGAGGGTGTTCAGGGTAGAGAGCTGTAGGTGTGTCTGCCAGCTATCTAATAGCCAGGATAAGAGTGAGCTAACAGGGCTTTCTGATGGGCTCTTTCTCTTTCAGGTTCAAGTTCTTCTGTACTTCCTGCAGCTAGAGACTATCCCTACCCCAGACAGCAAGAGGCAAAGCATTCTCTTTTCCACAGAGGTGTAGGTGCCTGCGATACCAACAGGACACAAAAGACTGCTTTTGGCATAAACCTGCCACGCCTGAGAAAAAGACAACTGATGTTTCTTCAGACATTGCTGGCCTGTTCCTGCCCCGGGGAACTGCAGCCCTCGGCGCTTCTGCTGTTCGTTAACCAGTGACAAGCTGAAGAGGGAGAAAAGCTTCTGCTCTGGATTGGTAGGAGCAGAACTGGACTGGAGATGGAGCTGTGCAGCATCTCCACTAGGAGGAGCAATAGACACTTGAACAAATGCACCACAGTGTGGCTGTTGTTCTTGTCGGGAATGTGACAGAAGGTATTCCTCACTTTATGGATTTAATTTATCAAAAAGAAACTTCAAGATTTCTACTGGACCACTTGATAGGAGACCCCTTTTTGGGTGAGGGGGAGTTAAAGAATCTATCACAACTGTGTCTTTACTAACTGCTGTTTATAAAGTACTGTTCTAGGCCACAAAAATAGTGTTGCTTTGCAAGAGAAGAGCAGAAGGGAAGGGTCTGGGATCTGAGATTCCCTCCTCAGAAACTGAAGTCTTGATTTGACCAGGGTTCTAAAGCAATTAAACAGGTTTGTGTACAACTCGAGCTGTTGGTTTGTGTGGGGCTTGGGGTTTAGTTTAGTTTATTTTTGTCTTGCCCACCCCTTTCCTTGCAAATGTTTCCACAGCTCTAGGGAAGGAGATGCCCTGCTCTTGCCCAGGCTGCACTTCTGATGGGTCTTGGGTTAAGGGAGCCAGACCTAATGATGTTACATTATAAATAATATAGCAAATTGAGCAGGCAGGGAGGATGAGTCAGTGATTCTGTTGTCTGTTTGCATATAAAAGCAGGGGCGATGTTATCCAGGCAGGATTGGTAAATTCGTTAGGCCCCACCAAACTTCATGAAAATTAATTGGGAAGTCTGTTAATTCCCAACACTCCAAAGAAAAGATCACTGCAAAAGGAATTGAAGGCTTTGTGGACAAAATAACCTGTGGCTATCAGTTTGGCTGGCTGCTTACTTCAGGCTTTTCTCAGAACATCTGTTTTTGGGGTTTTTTGGTTTGGTTTTTTTTGATACTTGAATTTTTGGAGGCTTTGTACATTGCTTCTACAAGAGCCTTCTTCTGATTGCTCCACTTTGATAAACCATGTCAGAATGTACTTCAGGGACAATCCGGCAAGCAGCATTCATTGTGTATTCTCCAGCAATTCCAACCCTGTTTTAAATAAGAGCAGTGAAGACATATCAATGGAGCTACATAGAGCAGTACAGGTCAAGCCAAACACCGCCGTTGTGTTGCCGTGCTTACAGTGGTCAAAGCCACCGTGGTCACACAGGGGTGCAGGGCAGCTTTGTCCAGGGAGCACAGGACAGTCCAACTGCTGCTGTGCAGAGCAGAGCAGAGCATTCCGGCTGTGAAGCAGCTGAGCTGAACACCCTGGGGCAGGGGGGAGCGACTCCATTTGCATGAAGCACCCCAAGCCCTTCACTCCCTACCCAGCTCTGCATTTGGTGCCATCTGTCCATCGTCATCCTGGGGAGGAGAAAAGTACAGCTGGGAGACAAGGGAAGGAATGGGCATGAGAAGGGGAGGGAGGGATGGGTTTGGAAACATTGGTAGTTAGGCTGTCAACATCATTTGAGGGGAAGTATAACAAAGAAAGCAACCCCTGTTACGTGAATTTCCCGTTTTCTGATGGGTGATCTGCAACCTCTCAACAAAAAGTCAAAGGAATCTTTCAAACAAATGGAAAGAAAATGAAAGGGAAATGATTCTGTAGTCACTGGAATTCTGACGGCTGCGTATTAGAAATCATTGTACTGTGAAGTTGCAAATTCAAAAAGGAAGAATTATAAAGTTCAATTTTGTGAGTATATCAATATTTTGCATGCTTTGTAAGGATTCTTATAGGAATTTACTATTGCTTAGTATCCCTCCGTCCCTAGGTCTGGGAGAAAACCTTTTTGTAATGTAATGTACAACTAGAAATTCCTTCTCTCTTGTATGTATTTCCACTACATTCCAACTTCCGAACCTGTAAACCAGAGACAGTGTCTATAGTAGGAGGTGCTTTTTTGGGGAGGGAGGGAATGAAGGCAAGGAAACTTGAAGGCGTAAGATTTTGATTTTTATTATTATTTGCCTTTTTAAGGTAAAAATTAGTCACAATCCTGAAAACCATTGACTTAAGAACAGTCATGCAGTAAACCACACGCCCTGGGCTTGGTTTTCTGTATTTGCTCTCATTGTCACATAGCAGTTCTATAGCAATCCCTGTCCTGCCAGCGGCACCCCTACCTCTTCCAAGCTGTTGTTTGGGATCTTGGAGGCAGCAGCAATGCTGATGACTTACCTTGAAAGGAGAAAAACCCCAGCTGCAGCAGGTGGTTGGTGAAGGCCTTTTCCTTTTGGTGTTTGGAATCCGTGGCTGCCCTTTGCAGTGTTGAAACTGGAAAGCAATACCATAATGACTGTGCCAATTTACTTCTGCCCAACGTGTTTATTTTTATTTATATAGGAGGTTAATTTTAATATTAAATTACTGATCTATTGTATGTAACCATGAGAAAATGGCTTTTGCTTTGGTTACTGTTACAGGTTGTTGCTTTTAGTCTCTCATTACAATGCTCATTTCTACTGTAACACTATCTAACATGCAGGCATGTGGATCAGGGAAAAAGTTAATTTAACTTAGCCCGTTAATTATTTCTGTTAAGTGTGAATATGTTTTCCCCAAAGCTGGTAATTTTGGGCTGGAGAAGGTAGCACATCCTATTGCTGATGATGAAATCATGGACTGATTGGAAATACGAGAATTGATTTCTTGAATTTCCTTTACTTTTGCAATTAAGTTTTTTCAAATAGCCTTATGTTTCCACAAGGATTTCCAAAAGGTGCTGGTTGGGGTTTGGGGTTTTTTTGATACTTTAGTTATGTTTTTAATAAGCCTTATCATACTTAAACAAAAAGGGAATTGCAAAACTTGGCTTCAGAGAAGGCCTTCTGATTTCTACTCTGATCTGTTCCCTTGCAAGCTCTGTCAGAAAAACCTAACTCTTCCATTTCCTATGTCACAAAGGTACAATATAAACAACATAAGAGCAAACTAGCAAACAAACTACCCTTTACATGGGCACTGGGAGTTTATGTTCTTTCTGTTTCTAGTGTATTGGAGAGACCTTCCTAAAAGTGTAGCTTTCAGTAACAGAAATCTGAAATGTCAGAACTTGAACTTAAGAAATTGGGGTGATGAGGATGCTCTGTGTATCTGCAGGTCAAGGAGAGGAAAAAGCATCGTTTCCTGGCATTTAAAAACTATTTTAAAGTTAGAATGGGGTTTTTTTTCTGAACACAGAAGAGTTTAGGTAAAATTTAAAAAAGTAAAGCAAATTATGGGATGAGTTTTCAGAGATGGACAAGAAATAACAGTTATTAGATTGGTTTCAGTTTTGTGTTTGGATGTGCTTTGTATAGGAGGGGAGCGTCTGAAACCAAATTGAAACACATCCATTAAGATGCTGCTGGTGTTCTTTATTCTTGCACAGTTTTAACAAGCGGAGGCAGTAGCTGGGCTTTTTCAAGCTGTACTTCAATGCTGCTATTTTTCAGTGGATCAGCTAAGGGCACTAGGGCAGCGCAGTGACTGTAGTTGCTCATGCCCGCTGCCTGCCTCCATTCTGACCCTTAGTTGCTTTGACGAAGCAATCGGCCGGCACCGTTTTGAGGCAAAACTGCAACAGTTTCGTTGGCCACAAGGTGGTGGCACCACAGAGTCTGTTCATGGGAGATGCGGTATTTTTACACTTCATGCATTTTACCCGTTTAGAAGTCTGTTTTACGGTTGTTTATGTTGGTTTCCTATGAGTTTATTTAAACAAATGTACTGTTCTTTAAAGCATATGTGGATCTCCAAATCTGTCACACCTGTAACACTGGAAGGCATCGCAATGTGCTCATTCATCTTAATGTGCCATTCTTTCAAGTATGTATAAAATGCAAATTGACCAATATGGCTTTTAAAAATGGTGAAAATCTGATGGCAAAACCCAACCTTCTCTGATTCCTCCCTGGTTAACCCCTTGGTTTCAGCGCTTGCTCACCTCCTGGGACAACATTTTCAGATGTGGGACTCTTAGGAATGAGAAAAGTTTTAAGAAAAAACTGCTGCCTTTCTGTTTTTCCTTCAGTTCAAGAAGGTGTGGCCGTGTGGGAACAAACCACAGATAAATATGTTCATGCTGCGTGTAAGGGGTTTGCTTCAGGTCCTTGAAGAAGCAAAATCTGAAAGGGCAGTTTCTAAGGGCATTCGTGTTTATGCCCTCATAAATTTGTAGCCTGGGTATGTTTTTCTCTGTAAGCTTTGCTGACATCATCGTAGTACAGCTATGATACTATTCACTTCCTTTAACACAGGCTGTGTGCGACTGGGATACTGGAGCTGTAGGTAGATCAGTATTAGCGACTCCCCATTCTGAAGTGGAATGAAAAGAACATTCATATGTATTCTATGGATTTTCTCATTGAGTAGAATTAAATACATGCATTGCCCTTAAAAGCAACAGAAGCCCTAAAGGAAGCACTTAATGATTATTCCTTAATTTAGGGAGTGAAAGTAATACAAAAGAGAAGCATAATTAGAAATCACTCAGATCATATTGTCTGGGACTAGAAAGAAGATCTCATTCCAAGTTCTGGAAGAAGGCTTACTCCCCAGGTAACTGGGAGCAACAGCTGTCTTTTCAGTAAATAAACATTAATTTAGGAACCCCAGGAATTTAGCTACTGTAGCCTCCCAGTTCTGTGCTGCGGTCCCTCTTGCTTGCAATTGAAAATCCACAGTTCAGTGCTAAGAATGCAATGCTTATCACTTGCTCTCTACATTTCCCCACACTCCTGTGGCAATAGACAGGGAGAAGCATTAGAGTCTGTGTATTACCATGGGTAAAACACCACTGCAGAGAACAAAAAAACTAACAGAACCAGAAAGGTAGATTGTTTTTTAAGGTAAAAGTCTGTTTCTGGCCTGCAAGGATAAAATGCCACCATATGCTGTAATGATGAGGTGGTTTGAAACAGTAGAACCAAAGCAAACCTGAGTGTAAACTTGATTCTCGTCCTCCCTTGCTTATATCCCTAGTTCAGGCCTTTTAGGGCAAACAAATACATAAATGCTATTGCCATGAATTAGAAAACTATTAAATGACCTCGTTTGCATCCACTGTCGATTCTGTGTTACCATCCAATAGTGGAATTGCTGGAGACCCTTGCAGAAACACACAGGTGAACCATGCAAGCATTTTCCATCACTTAAGTCCTTACTGCTGTGTTTCACCTTGCAGTGAGAAAGACCCCTCCTTTTCCAACAGAAATCACTTCATGTCATTCTGCACTGTAAAAACTACCACACGGGGGGGGGTCAGTTTGTAGCAGAGCTGTCCCTGAAGATAACTGAAGTATTTCCAGTCTTACGGTACGGAATAGAACAGGTATTGCTAAAGCTCTGGGCTAGTGTATTCCTGTTTTGCAAGTTAAATAAGATTCCATTAATTACACCTGTGCAAACATATTTGGGAATTAATATGCTTGAGTCCCCAAGGCTGTGTTTGCTCTGCTGCAGTCATGTTCATGTCCTCGTCAAAAATGGAGAAAACTCCTCATTTTCCACTAGAGCTTTTGTTTGTGTGGCTGTTGCAGCCTTTTTCCCCAGCGACAAGATGTTCTGAGAACCAAAGACATTGTACAGATGCCCCATTTCTCTAATCTGTAGAATGACTCATGTGGCAAGGCCATTTTATATCCCTGTGGGTGTACAAAAGGGCAGGCTCGTGTACAGAGCAGCTTCCTGCCTGGAAGAATGCAGCAGCTTTCTGCAGATGACCCAAAACAAGAATCACAACAGGCAGAGCCGACCAGTGAGCGATGGCCTTGGTCCTTAGGTGCTCACATCACTCCTGGGGCAGTTTGAGTTAGATCCAGAAGGCAGTTAGAGGAAAAAACTCATCCAGTTCCTTCTTACTGTGCCTAACTGAATCCCAGTCTACATAAAGTAGCTCAAATTTCCTCCATTTCAGTGCTATTTTGGGAGAAATTAGGACTACACTAACTCTAGGGATTATGCAAATAGCTGAAAACTGATTCATATCTTTTACATCTTTCATCTATATGATGGTAATGTAAAAGCTGCCATAGCAAAAGGACATTTCTTCCCATTTCTTCCCAACAGCCTCTTCTAATCCCTTATTTACTGCTGCTCAAAGCTTCAGAGAAATCTTGTTTTGGGCTTTGGTTACCTTATTCTGCAAAACTTGTGGAATCCTGGATAAAACTTGGCTACACAGGGACAGATGTTTCAGGAGCTGGGATATCAGTACCAAAAGTGATTACCAAGGCAGCAAAAGAGGGTAAGGAATTGTTGTGTTGGATGCCTGAGAAGCACCGCAATGAAAGTGAACTTAAAGATTATCTATCTCAGCAGGACACCGTGAAATGTCCTTTCTGTGTCTGTCCAGCAAAAGAAATAAAACAAAGCCTCCTCTTGCCTCTGTAAGTTGTGTAGTTTATTCCTATCTCTAGTATTGCAAGTGTTTATAATCTGTGAAGAATTCCAAGGAAAGGAGTTAAGACTATTTATTTAAATATAAATACAATTAAATTATATGATTAGTGCTAAATTATCAGGTGTAGAAGATGTATTGTTTGGATAACTTTGGGTTTCATCAGAGTTAATACTGTTGGCATTGTTTTAACACTACCATATTAGGGAGTCAGGTTTTGACATTTTATACTGCTGTTGCTATTGCTTCAGTATCTAAAAGTGCTCTGGTTTTGGAGAAGAAAACCTAATAGTAGTTTAATACTGAAAGGTGTTGAAACTGTACTGCTAAACATCTCTCAGTTTAGGCCCAAAGAGAGAAGAAAAAGGGAAGGGGGGGGGGGGAAACTGTCATTCTGGATGTTTTTTTCTTTTTCTGAGAAAAGTGGTATAAAAAAGGGATCCAAAAAACTGTATTTGGGGAAAAATGTCTAAGGCATTTGTAGCCTTTCTTTGTACACAATGTTAAATAAAATCTCCTGTATCTACGTCAGGCTCTTTTGGTCTTCTTTAACTAAAACCTGGGCCTACATGTTTGAGAAGGTAAAAGCTGCATCACTTAAACTCTAGAGGTTAGTACAGAATTAAACCCAGCTATAATGTGAGGAAATCGTTTACATGTAAGGTAGAGACACAGCTGAGCAAACCAGTCCATTTTCAATCTGTATTAACCCCTTTGTAGGAGTATTGCTTCAGAGTGCAAACCATCTCAAACCTTGTAAACTTTACCTTTGTGTGCAGAGCACTTCAGCTGTAGTTACGTATTTGCTAAGAAGTCAGCTCTGTCCTCTAGGTTATTCAAACGTTGCATGAAACTAGTGGGTTTTGTAGGAATTGGTGTGGAAACTGAATCAGTCATTTAAATCAAGTTCTCTTGGTGCTTTATTTAAATCAAATATTTAAATTATTAATGTAATTAAAGTACATTTATGTTTTGCTATAGTCCAACTTAATATAATATATAAACCTCTCTATAATAAAGATACCTGCTTGGAAGCTTTCTAGCTGATTTTCATTCAGTGTGGATCACAAAGATGACGTCTCAAGGGTGATATCCAAAGTAGAGAAAAATTTAGCTGAATGTGTTCAAAACTAACACTGAAATGAGATGCAGATCAAGAAAAATAAATGATCATACTTACCACCTGTATTGGGAAAAGAAGATCAATGACTAACATGAATACTTCCTGCCAGTGGTGTAGCTGTAAAATATGCAATAGCTTCAAAATAGTTTTCAGATGGCTTCAATGTAGAAGTCTCCAGAATTGTTCTCACTCCATTACAAAGCATACCTTTGTAGAGCAATCACATGGAACCATACCAGGACATCCCTGCATGAGCTTGGAAGCTGTGATGTCCTATGCCATGTGTTCTGCTCACACAGCCATGCTCTTACTGCATCACTCCCTTCACTGTTCAATTCCTTCACTGCTACCAGGCTGCTACTTCCCAGCCATTTCTCCTAGCTGCTTTCCCCCACCTGAAGACGCTGAGTGAGCAACACAGCCATGGGCTTGAAATGAATCAAGTTCAGCTGGTACACAGTTTCAGTACACTACTTCCCTGTAACGAGAAGGAACAAATGAAACTTAAGGCTGGAGCAGGATGAGAAAGAACATACTAGAGTGCATAATAACCATGAATGGTCTGTGCAAATTGCTACACTGGAGCAGCTGCCTTTCATTTTCCAGGCAGCCCTTACACTGCTTCCCGAGGCTCAGACAGGCTGCCCCGAGGCAGCTGCTCATCCAGAGGCCCTGCAGGATACAGCTGTCAGTCTGAGACAGGATCAGCTGTACCTGCTCGACTCTGGAGACATTCATCTGCTCTTTGTTAGAGGCCTCTAATTATGGAGATTCTCCTGGATCATCCTCTTGGGCAGTCTAATCCTGAACATAACAACAATGAGAAATCTTTCCTAGTAGACAGCCCTTGCACACATTACAGGATATAATGCTGCAGGTTTAGGCAGAGTTTTTTAGGGACCTTGTAAGTTCCTGAACCAGCCATATGTACTGCCACCTACCAGTTTATTCATTCATTCACTAGCTGAACGAAACCTGTTCTTTCCTGCTAGAGAAGAGAAAGCAGAGCCCCTTTGTGGGCTATGGTGAGAAATACACTGTACAAAACAAAAGCAGGCATCTCCACATCCCTAGTACAGCGTAATGCTGCTGATTGTCATCGAAATGCCACAGCCTTACTGGCAACTTTAAAATCAATCTAAAGGGAGACACGCAGAACAACATTTTGTTCAATCTATCATGGATCAGAAAATAGTGGAGTGACATTGTACTGTTTGGAAACAAACACCAGAAATATTACTTAAGTATAAAATAGCCTTTCAATGTCAAATAGGTATGCTGTGCCCTTGAAGTGACTTTATCAGACACATAAATAGGACATTTTCCCCTCAATGTAAACCAAACTACATTGTAACACTGTCATGGTTTAAGCCCAGCCGGTAAGGCTGAACCACAGACAAACATCCTCAGTTTTAAAGTGGATTCTGATGAAACCTGAATGTCATTTACTTTGATTTACAATTAGCAAATTTTACCCAAGATCACAATGGGGCTGTAAATCAGACTTGCACTCACAATCTACAGGCCTATGAATTCTAGGAGCAAAAGTACCCCAGGGGAGAGGCTGCAATGCAATCTTACACTGAGGCGTTCCTTTCAATGAAACAGTTGCATTGTTGCTGGGACAGGGGCTTTAACCCATGGCCTGAGCTAAACAGAAACCCTGATGAGGAAACTCTCACAGGAATATCAAGTCAGCACATTGTCTTTGATTTAAACAAATCACTTCACAGTACACACTGTAAGTAAAGCACAGACCTCCGTCGGCACTGGGAGCACATGGGGGTTCAAACCTCCATACACATCTCCAAAGCACAGTAAATTTCGGGGATTTTTATACTTTACATTCCCATCTTGATATAATTTTACCTAAAGCATGAACACATACAATTGGGTAAGTTATATAACTGTAGTCCTCTTATCCTACTGCACACTCGGGTTAGGGCTACAATGACAGTCTATTGGTTACCTTTCAGCTTTCAATTACTAATACCTGCAAGCTACGTGCTTAGTTCTTTGCTGAAATTGTTATCATAACTTACCATTAGGGATGTGCCTGCTTAGAACCAATTTACAGAAGCAGATGCAAGGCGTCTACAGGTCCCAATTCTAATGCATTGTTTATCATGCTTCCCCAGAAAGTCAGGTTCCCATCCTCAGAGGGGCACCCTGTCGAGCCAGCATTCACGTTTAGGTGCTAAGCCATACTCATGCTAAAAAGCAACGTTATTTCAGCTAAGGCCTAATGCCTTGGTCTCACTTAGTTACTGTGCTCATAGCACTTTCTAGCCAACACTTGTAAATGCAGACTCGGCTATACCTCCCACTAAAGCACCAACACTATCATTTGGGTTTATTAATTGCAGTTGCCTGTTATACGTGACAAGTCAAACGTTGCACTACAAAACCTAGTTTAGTGCAGTCTTTTAGGAGCTGGAAGTCAGAAAACCTGCGTTCGCATTAAATTTTTGCAAGCAAAGCTACTGCCCGCAGCACTTGAACATCTCCTTGCTCAGATGGACACCCGTAAATCACCTAACATCGCGGTGTACGTCACAGCCACAGCTTTAGGAAACCTACAGCTCCTCTGCCCCCCCCTCGGCAGCCTGGGCCGTGCCAGCGCTCCGGGCCCTGGCTCTAACGGTGACGCGAGGCCGCCACCGCCGCACCTTCACTCTCGAGCTTTATTGCACACCCGCGGGTTCCCTCCTCAAGGGTTCTCTGCAGCTTAAAAAAGACGGGTTTATTCCAGGAAAAAAAACCACCAAAACCTCCCAAATTAAATGATCACGGGCCCGGGGCCACCTGCACCCGGCGCCACCTCCTCACGCCCAGCGCCGCGAGCCGCCTCAGCCCGGCCCGGCCCAGCCCCGCCCCGCGGCGCACGGCGGAGCTCGCGGCGCGGCCCAGCCCGGCCTCACCCGGCGCGGTCCCGTCCCCGTCCCCGTCCCTTCCCCTCCCCTCCCCTCCCCTCCCCTACACACGGGCCGCGCCGCGAAGAAGCGGGAAGGAGGCGGCTGCCCGGTAAGCGCCGAGCGCCGGCGAGCTCAGCCCCGACCCCCGCTCGCTGAGGGGCCACCCGCGGAGGCCCCAGCAAGGCCCGTGTCCCGGGCTCCCGCCGCCCGCAGCCCCTTCCCGCGCCTCCCGGGTCCGATCTCCTCCTTACGGCCGCCGCCCCCTGCGCTCCGTGTGCCCTGAGGGGCCTCCGGCCGCGCTGTCACCCCTCAGCCGAGCCCGGCGGTGACAGCCGCCCCGCTCCCGCCTCAGTTACCTCAGGTCCCCGCGCGCGCCCCGCGGCCGCGTCCTCCTCCCTCCCCTGGCTGGTGGAGCCGCCGCGTCTCTGTCACCCATTTTGTGGCTGTGCCTGAGGCGCAGCCGGACAGAGCCGCCCCCGGGGAGCCGTGAGGTACCGGAGGGCTTCGCCGTTCCCGGCTAGCGGGACAAGCTCCCGTTTGCATCCCTCGGTGCAATCATCCGTTTCACGCTGCTGGCTTGTTTCTGTGGAGAGGGATGGCGGTGGGGCGTGTGGAAGCTTTGCTGAGGAGAAGGGTGGATTGCCTGCGCTTCAATGCCCTGTAGCTAGGTTTTGGTGTGATGGGGAGGACCTTTGTCTGGATTTTGGTCTCGTGGTTGTCTGGAGTGCCGTTTTTCTGTATTTTCATAGCTGAAAGATCTATAAGCTCCAGTTTTGTGCCTGCTGTCACCCCTTCTCTACTCCACGGTATTCCTTCTTGTAAGCCTTATGTGATCAGGGACAGAATCAGAGTCATCAGCCTGTTCTAAGGGTCTTCCATGCTCGGTGTCCTCAGAGAGAAGAACAGTGCAATGCTGATCCTCAGCAAACTGCACACTCCTCTCTACAACAGCATCTCATTGTGTGTGACTGCATGGAGTGTCTATCTCTGCTGGGATCTGGAAAACACAGCTGTCTCATAGCAAAAAGTATGGCTTGTAAATGGTTCCACTGAGTGGAAAGTGTTCTGAAGAGCCATAGGTTGCGTTGAAGGACGTAGTCCATGCAAGCTGTGCTCACCCCAAAAGCAAACATGAATCTTCTGTTGCTGCTTCCTGCTTAATTAATGGTATGAACTTTGGCTGCTGAAATGTAGACAAACTAAAGCCAGTGGCTGCTTTTAACTCCCTGTGGGTCACAATATAGTTCTGCAGTGGCTCAGAAGTGCAGTTTCTCCTGCTCCCTCCAGCCTAGCTGATCGGTGTTGGGTAGTTGCTCACAAAAATGAAAAGAGCGGATCACTGTAAACAGACTGAGATTGGAGTAGTCTCTTGTATCTTGTAACACTGCCACTTAACTTTCAGTTGATGGGAAGATCAGATTCTAGGCTGGTAGACTGTGTGAAATTGCAGAAAAGGAAACTTGTTTATTCAGATGTTTCAGTATGTCTGAAGACCTGTGTCTGTTTTCCTTTCTTTACCGAATACAATACGTAATTGCAGAGAACAAAACATCTCAAATCTCTTTGATTGATTGTAGCATTTCTGTCAGATACAGTGTCATCTAGATTAGTACTGCAGTCCACATTTCCCAGTTATTGTATGCTCAAGTGAAAGAACTATTTATTGGCGTGAGTTTTGGTGTGATCATCAATAAAGATCTTTGTACTCTCTTTAGCAGTTTAAAAGACTGCTTTATTAAAATTTGGTGATGGTGGAACATCACAGTGGGCAAACCTCTGTGCAGGATTTCCAGTGCTCATGGACTGCGCTTTTTACTGTGTTTTGCAGCTTACCAGCTCTGTGGTATTTTCCTTTTCCCTCCATGTTCTAAGGCAGTGTGATCTCTGTGGCTTTCTAGGCATGCTACCAAAGGCGTCTTCTGCATTAGGCTTCAGGAAAGGCCAACGAGTTTTAGAAGTTTCTGTCTATGTGCATGTTGGAATAGTTATTTTTATGCTGCAAAGATTTCATTGTGCGAAATAGATGAGGTGGTGTACAGTTAACTCCTTGGGTATGAATAAATATATGTTTCTAAGTAATGTGGTGAAGGGAATCAAGTTTGTGCCGTTTTTGCTTTATTGTTAGTATGAAAGAGGAAAATACACTCAGAAGGTAGAGGCATGTGATGGAAATTCATAAGAGATCTTTCACTAGCATACTTCAGAAGTTCCTTTTTTCTTGCCTTGATCTTGCAATGGTGGAGCCTGTGTTGCCAACTAGGATCCAGTTTTAGAAGTGTAGAATGCTATTAATGTCTCTATTGCTCAGTGGGGAAAACGGTGTAAGAAATGTTATGCTTTTACTTCCTGGCTTCAAAAATCACTCCATTTGATCATATTTTTAGTCTTTCTACTGAAAAAGGGAAAATGGGTGTTGAAGCTGAGTTGTATTCTTAATCGTAGCCTTAAGTGACTAGTCACAAGGAACATATTACTTGTTTCCTTTGAGCTTTTTCCAACTGAAATGATCACAGAAGCCACTTAACAGTTTAATGCAGCCTACAAATCATCATAGGTTACTATCTTTTAACATATAAATAACACATCATTAGAGTTTTCACAGGCACATGCATTATTTTCTTTGGGAAGGAGGATTTTTTTTTCTTTACCATAAAGACGCTACAATTTTTGATCATCTTTGTAAATAAAATGTCTTAGGATTCCTTAATTTTGCAAAGAACTGACACTGTTGCAAATAAGTGGCAGAACTAATAGCTTCCCAAATTGCAGAGAAGGGTAGCGCAAGAACCAGTTGTGAAGTTGGGTCAAAGAGACTTTTTTAAGGGGATCAATCTGAAAGTTGTCGGTACCAAAAGAAAAATATCTTAATTTAGAACTAGCCATTTGTTACACATTAAAGGGTTGTAAAGTCACTTAAGCAAAATTCCAAGAGAGAAAGTAACTAATTTTTACTAAGGACTTGGTTTGACGTCTGTGAAAGAAAAGTCTTGCATGATCTTCAGTTAATTTTATTTTCCAGGGCTGTTTGCCAGAATGAAGCCAAGCGAATGATTGCCTGTAACTAACTGTTATATATGCAGTTTTAGTCAGGAAAATAAACTAGGCATCTAACATCTAGTATTTAAATAGTATTTAAAAGGAATAAAGGTAGTATGGAAGTACTCAAGTGATGTATTTGATGACATCAGCCTGAAAGTATCAGTATTTTCTGATGCTAAAACCATTTCCTCGACTGGTCATTTGGCCATTATAGGATACGTGTTCTACACAGGTACATGCAGTGAATAAATGATTTCCTGTGGGATATACTTTTAGGGAGTGGGTGGAAAGATTGACCAAGAGGCTGGCATTCTGAACACTCCTTGAAACTTCATGTTCTTCTTAGTCCATTTCTGTATATGTTCTTAATTAAAAGCACTCTGTGGTTTTGGCAGATGAAGCCTTCTTGAAACTTTGGCTGCAGAATTTCCTTGCTTTGTGAGGGTTGGTGCTGGAGAGGCTCCTTCAACAGAACATTTCACTCTTCATTGCTAAAATGTTGGCAGTCTTCATATTGACAAGTCTTAACTGACACAGGCAAGTTATAAAAATGGTCCATTAGAGCTTGACTTTCTCTGTTTAATCATAGGATTTTTTTTAATTTTAATTTTAACTGTGTTGCCAAGTTGTACTGAGCTTAAAGTTTCTTTTGTTTAGCGAGCTAAAGGGCACTGAGATTTGATGATGGATATGCATTCAAAGTAGCATCATGTGCAGTGAAAAACCTCTCTTTCTTTGCAAATAAGGGTTATGTCTATTTCAGTTTGCTTTTCCCTAAGAACCAACCAGTGTTGTAAATAGTTAGAGGTAAATATTTCTTTCAAGTCCCTGAAAAATATGGACTTTTCTGGAGAAAAAGAAAAATTAAAACTGCTCTTTATAGACATAATTTCTACCATAAATCTGAGTAACTCTGCTCACTTGAAGCTCTAGTTTCTCTTTTAGTTCTTTCTGTGACAAAAGAGATCTTTCCTTCCTAGCAGTGACAGAAGCATGCACAGCCACATTTTATCTATACTCACTTATCACATGGTCTCTTGAAAAGATGAGTTTCTTAAATAATTATAGTTGCTGGAAGTTGTCATCAAATTATTCTTGACTTATGATTTCTAAATATGAGATGCGTCCTGGAATGTGGCAATGTCACTGGGTCTGGCTATACTGAGAACTTTTATTCAAGAATTAAGATGTTAAAATTAACACTTGCTGCCATAAACGTTTCACCCACAATTATTGCTGTTCTTTTTGTATAGACTTATACAAAACTGTACAAAAATATAGACCTCCAGGTTTCCTTAACCTGGGAGTCTGACTTTGAAAAAGTTCTTGAGGGTGCTGTTATGCTATTCTCCAAAGGTTTTGATTGTTTGCTATGATAGATGTTACTGTGATTTACAGTAAAATTACAGAAAAACATTAGAAACACTTTGAAGATGATCATTCCAAGTTTGCACATGAGATTTCAGTCTACTTGTGTTTCACATTCAGAAGTAAATTTGCTATATAAAAACCATAAAATTATAACAATATGCATTATAAGATTTTCTTGGTAGGTTTCTGAGAATGTTTCTGGTATATACCTGTAAAATAAATAGTATCTATTCCATTAAGGCTATAACTTATGGATTAGTGTGTAAGTAAAGGATATTTGAAGGAAAAATAACTAAAGACTTCAATAATGTCTTTCTGAGTAGAAAGACTACATTTTTCTGGTGGGAATGGGAAAGCTATTCTGAGTTCTTCAGCCAAACATCAAAGGCTCACCACAAAACCTGAAGTTACAAGAGCTTATCAGAGAAATA